GTATTCTGAAATTAGGGCGTGTGGTCTAGTGGTATGATTCTCGCTTTGGGTACTGTTCAATGAACATTTTCAAGTATGCGAGAGGCCCTGGGTTCAATTCCCAGCTCGCCCCAATTTTTTCGCTCATTATTTTGCTGAATTTCGAAAATATTTGGTTATTAGTCTTTCATTCAATATTCAAAATTTTTTGTTTCTAAAGGTCAGCAAGATCAATCGTCTACATTTATGGATAATAGAAGAATCTCAAGACCTTACTCGTCCAAAGATGTTTCCGGACATAGAGGAAACCGGGGTTTATTCTCTAGGGTGAAAAGGTTCTTCAATTCTCAATGGACTCATAATAATAAAGAGGAACAAAACATAGAAAAAAATCAGGCCAAATTACATTTCCAAACAAGTTCAAATACAAATCCGAATTCTCAAACAGATTCAGACATTAGCTCATTTAGAACACCTTCAAATTCCAGGGTTAAAACGGTGGATAACCAGGGCACACCCAATGAGACATTGTCAAGTTTCTTTCATGAAAAAGGTAGCAATCCTTTGACAGCCACTGAATACGAAGAAGTTCTTTCGTTAATTTCTAAATCTCGATCTCGTTCGGCTACCCCTGCGGTTATAAAAGATGACCACACGACACCTCGTAATGCTAAAAACGACTCCACCTTTTCTACACCATTGAATCAACGACTTATAAAGAACAATGCTCCGCCTACGGTTTTCTCCACACCAGAATATAAACCAGTTTATCAAACTATTGTTGAAAAGTCAACCCCTAGAAATATACCGACAGTTAAACGTGTGTACCAATTTTCTGGACTCCCGTCACCTTACAGAACCAGAATAAGTGTCCCTGCATCATTAAAAAAACAAAAGCGAGAGGAAACTGAATTGACGTTACCCTCAGAGCACTCTTCGCCCCTTATAAACCGAGATGAACAGAAAAGTGAAACTGCTAGTGCTATCTTGTCAATTTTAGATGGGGAAAAAGATACCACATCGACAAAAGCGGAGGATAGGACTTCAAAAAGATCACGTAGTGATACATTAAAGGCATTCTCAAATCCGTATGCTACGTCACATTCTTTAAAGAAGAAAAAAACGAAGCACTCTCCAGCACCTGTCATGTTGACTACAGATGACATAACTAAGAGCATTTCCTATAATAAAACAGAAGAGTTACCGGCCAACTCGCTGATTTTTTCAAATGGCGCAGACAAGGAAGAAAAACTTGATGGAGTATCTTCACAACCTTCTTTGCCAAAGAGTGGAGGAGTGGACTCTGTAACAACTAAGAGTGCTTGGGAAGTACCGTCTTCCAATTCGGTAACAAAGACTTTTGACCTCAATCGATTTAGTACTGAGCCGCACTTGAAAACATCAAAGGTACCATTGAAAACCTTGAATAACTCTATTAAATTCGAATTTCCTAACGTTACTCCGGCTCCAGTGGTTTTGAACCAGGAAAAAGTAATTAGATATAGAAATTTATTCGAGTTTTAGCGGCACTATATATGGTGTGTATATGGATTAACATGGTTCGTATAGAAATATTAAAAAAGTATTTAGTGTTCGTACTATTTGCAAGTATCTAATTACTCTTCATTCAAAGGAAATGACATCTTCATTGAACTCCGTTCTTTTAATTGGAGGTTCTGGTTTCCTCGGGCTTCACTTGATCCAACAATTTTATAAGAATTCACCAGATACAAAAATCTACGTGTTCGACGTGCGTCCATTACCTGAGAAACTTTCGAAATACTTTACTTTTCCAGCAGATCAAATTGGATACTTCGAGGGAGACATAATTTCTGAAGATGATGTAAGTCATGCAGTAAGGGAATCTGGATGCGATGTAGTAGTTCACTCTGCATCTCCAATGCATGGTCTTCCTCAGGAAATATACGAAAAAGTGAATGTTCAAGGAACTAAAAATTTGATTGAAGTGGCACAAAAGTTGGGAGTGAAAGCTTTGGTATACACTTCTTCAGCGGGGGTTATTTTCAATGGGCAGGATGTACGTAATGCGGACGAAACATGGCCTTATCCCGCTGTTCACATGGATGGTTACAACGAAACAAAGGCTATAGCTGAAACTGCCGTAATGCAAAGCAATGATCCAGATGGACTTCTCACTGTGTGTCTTCGTCCGGCTGGTATATTTGGTCCCGGAGATCGTCAATTAGTTCCTGGTCTTAGAGCTGCTGCAAGGATGGGCCAATCTAAGTTCCAGCTTGGTGATAATAACAATCTTTTTGATTGGACTTATGCTGGAAACGTAGCAGATGCTCATGTGTTGGCCGCTCAAAAAATAATAGATCCTTCTTACCGTGACAAACTTGGAGGAGAAACCCTCTTTATCACTAACGATGCTCCAACTTATTTTTGGACTTTGGCTCGTACCGTGTGGAAAGCTGATGGCCACATTGACAAATATAATATTGTACTAAAGCGCCCAATTGCAATTGTAGCTGGTTATTTGTCAGAATATGTCTCTAAAATACTAAATAAGGAACCAGGATTGACCCCTTTTCGGGTTAGAGTTGTATGTGCTACTCGTTACCATGATATATCAAGAGCTAAGGAGCTCCTCGGCTATAAACCAGCAGTGGATTTGGAGACAGGTATAAATTATACTTTAGATTGGATGAATGAAAAGTAAAGAATCCGCCTGCCTATCTGCACTATCTTGCTTTCTTTCAGATTTTTAGAAGTAAAGCGTAGTCTAGCTTCTTAAGAAAATTTATAGATAAGGCTATAATATATGGGATCTCGTTATTAATTGAAACTTACTATTGCATTGATGCAACATTTTTATATCTAGGTTATAAATTGAAAGTAAATTTTGCATATATCCTTCCTTATAAAAAAGTATTCCAGCTATTTTCTAGTAAGTCTTTTCTTTTAGTATACGGCTTTAATTTTCCTGGTCTCTCATTTATAAATTCCGTGGCACAACCAGTGGAAACCTTAAAGAGACAGCCTCTGATGCTATACCAACGATAGATATCATTTTAGATGTCTACGCTTCCTTCCAGAATCATGCGTTTGCCTTGATGTACTATACAACTAAGAGAGACTTATTAGAATTTTTACAGAGGAATATTGTTTAAAAATGTTTCATATTCTTTGAACATTTTGCGATAAATACGAAAAATTACAAAGAACCTAAAAAGACAGAACACTTCTGATTAATATTTTCATGAATTCTAGGATATTCGGGAGCGTTCTTCGGTCTCAAAAGGAGTACTGCTTTGGGAAGCTAAATATGGCTTTAGTGCTAACAAATTTAAAGTGTTCCAAAATTAACAAATCGAGATAAGCAACCTCTGACAGACATAGCAGAAGTCAGTCAATAAAGCAATGTGACAAATAGATTGTCAGTTTGCTCTGGCTCGATATAGCCCCCCAACTCTTCCAACCTGTATGTCTTGTCTTCACTGTTGCTTGTCCAAGTTGACTATTGCAGCCATTCTCGTCGCGAGCCGAAATCTAGCGTACCTTCTGCTTTCACACCGATTTCAATCTATAACGGCAACCTAAGCATAGCCCAAGCCTCAGGGGTAACGTTTACTATTTTGAAGATCGACCGTCTAATTATTCCACATATAATGCCATTCCGTTCTGTTCGACCGCGTTGTTTATCAATTTCTTTGTCTTTTATGTGGGGGTCCAAAACCGAAAATCGTGCCTAGAGCAGTATTCCGGCTTTTTAGAGGCCTGATTACTGTACATAACGTTGTATTGTTGAGATTATTACTTTAAGTATCATAAAGCACACATCGAACTCAGCCACTAGTACCTGCATTAAATATAAGATGTAAGCATTTTCCCGTTCTTAATAAAGGGTTTACTCTTTCGGAACGCCTCGACGTGTTTTGCATTCTATCTTTGTTAATAACACTGCTTTTTTAGGGCCAAGGATCAAAATTCACAAAAGAGTCGAAGAATCAAATTTTTATGATGGGCTCAAAATAAAGACCATTTATTGTTAAAGGGAAACCTTATTGGATCTTAAGGAATAGTAGGCAGTGATAGGATGGAGGAGCGTGTTTCGTGGTTGCTTTGGTTAAAATTTTAGGATACGAAAGTATAAATATTTCTATTATCCAAATGTTTAATCTTTTGACGTGCCAAGGACTAACTGCTGCCAACTATTACGCTCTTTCAGATAATGCTCAGACAAATTATTACTTTAGTTACAATTGCCATTCTTGCGCAGGTAAGTTGGGCTGGAGATAGCAGTTTTCCTACTATCGAAGTTGTGGGTAACAAATTTTTTTACAGCAATAATGGTTCTCAATTCTATATCAGAGGCGTCGCCTATCAAGAGAACACAGAAGATAGCGACAGTTTCAAAGATCCATTGGCCGACGGTGACGCTTGCAAGAGAGACATTAAATATCTTCAGGAGATCAAAACTAATGTCTTACGAGTTTATTCTCTCAATACCTCTGTTAAGCACGACACTTGCATGAAAGCTCTAGCAGACGCAGGCATTTATGTTATTGCTGATTTGTCAGAACCATCAGAGTCTATTAATAGGGATGATCCAGAATGGAACTTGGATTTATACAAGAGATATGCTAATGTCATCGATGAATTTCAGACATATAATAATACATTAGGTTTTTTTGCTGGTAATGAAGTCACCAATAACAAATCAAATACTGATGCATCTCCATTCGTTAAAGCTGCAATTCGTGATATGAAAAAATATATCAAGTCTAAAAAGTATAGGACAATACCAGTCGGTTATTCGACGTCTGATGATGCTACCATCAGAGCCAAGCTTCCTGAGTACTTCTCTTGTGGAAGTGAAGAGGAAAGAGCAGACTTTTTTGGTCTCAACAATTATGAGTGGTGTGGAGACAGTAGTTTCTCATCTTCAGGCTACGAAGAGCGCACGGAAGAATATAAAAACTTGACAATTCCAGTATTTTTTTCAGAATATGGTTGCAATGAGAAAAAGCCAAGAAAGTTCACTGATGTGCCTACAATTTATGGTGATAAGATGACAGATGTTTGGTCGGGTGGTATTGTTTACATGTACTTTCAGGAGGAAAATGACTACGGTTTAGTTTCTGTCAAAGGTAGCAGTGTGAGCACATTAAGTGATTTTAAATACTTATCTCTGGAAATGGCCTCAATTTCCCCTTCATCTGCTAAGTCATCATCCCAGAAAGCTTCCACTCTCTCCTGTCCTGCCACCGGATCTAGCTGGCAAGCTGCCACTAAGCTCCCACCGACACCCGATGAAGATACTTGTGATTGTATTGCCAAATCCTTAGAATGTGTTGTTGCTGACAGCGTTGATGAGGATGACTATGGTGACTTATTTGGTTCTGTATGTGGCGAGATATCTTGTGATGCTATTAACGTTAATGGAAAGAAAGGGACATACGGTAAGTTTTCTTACTGTTCGACGAAGGACAAACTCTCGTACGTTTTGAATGCATATTACGAGAAGAATGGTAAAAAGCTGTCCGCATGCAGTTTCAAGGGATCAGCTTCTATTAATAAAAGTGCTTCATCTGCCAAGTCCTGCTCAAAGAAGACTTCAGAAGCAACAGGTAATGATTCAAGCTCCTCAGGTAGCTCAGATTCAGGTTCTGAAGGATCGGGCTCTTCCTCTGGATCTAGCTCTGGATCAACTTCAAGCTCGACCAAGCTGTCATTTGCTAATTTGAATGCTAGAAAGGTTACAAGTGGTGAATTGATTACGGTTGTTATTATGATAACAAGTTTCGTATGTGGATTTTCATTCGTCATGTTTTGATATGCTATAGAATATATATTCTAATAAATAAGATAAAAATGAGTCTATACACGGCAGTTATTTCTTTATCATAAAAATTTCATTTAGTGCTTTGGGATCCATAACCGAAGCTCTCTTCTGTCTTATCCATTTTGACCTTGCAGAAAGTCTACTAGATATTGGAACCACAGAGGAAACACGTACCACACGAGCATCAACAGAATCTCCTTGAATAGTCTCCAGTTTCTCCTGTTCTTCGAGGGCCATGTCGGAGTTCATATGACTATTTTTCATTTTTTTTCTTAATTTTTTGGAATCAATTTCTTCTAGCTTCCTTTTTTTGCATTCAATTGGTATTCTACCGACTGTCGCAATTTCAGTTTTTAATCCTTCTAGTCCTTCAGATTCTATGAATGCTTTCTTCTCTTTCTTTTGTTTCCTGTCCTTACTGCCTTTTTTGTTTTTTTTGTCTTCTTTTTCTGTCTTCTCTTTCTTCTCTTTCTTCTCTTTCTTCTCTTTCTTCTCTTTCTTCTCTTCTTTTTGTGTTCTCTCTTTCTTCACTTTCTTCTCTTTTTCTGCATCAATTGTTTTCCTAATTTTCGTCATTCTGCTGTCATTTTTCTTACTCTTTTTACGTTTCTTAGATTCATCTAATGACTTACTGCCACCTTGCGAAGCGAAGATTTCATTTTTTGTCTTCTCTTCCATTTTTGACTTTGAATCACTTATGTCACTATCTGACGCTGGTTGCAGTTTACTGGAAACAAAAGATTTGGATTTAGCATCCCACGTACTTTCGAGGCAATCACCTTTCACAAAGGATATACCCCATTTTCCTGTGATAAAATTATCTTTCTTCTTCCTATCCAATTCTTTGTTGATCAGTTCTTCTTTTCCATTGAGCCTTCCCAAAATTCTTTGGAAGACGTCTAATCCAGAACTTTCCCCATTTTCTAAGGAGCCGCTTCCAGCATTCGTTTTGGCGCCAAGACCTAAATTATCATCTTTTATTTTCACCTTTACATGGGTTTTAACAGCATGATCGACTAACCCAAGACCACTACCAGGTTCCCAGCCTAATTTCTCCAAGTAAACTCGTCCAAATCTTGAAGTATCATTTGACCACTTCGTGTTCCTTGGATCCATACCAAACCTCTGCTTGACCTTAGTCCCAGCCAAGCCCATTGTTTGAAGATTCTTGGTTTATATTTAGGCACTTACCGGGATGAAGAACCACGAATAGATAAAATAAAAAAAAATTTGGTAAGTTCAAACGCGATGATTACCTGCATATATTTGAATTAAAATTATATATTTATCCTAATATTGAATACCAACAGGGTCTTAGCCAATAGCCGTCATGTTTACCCTTAACTATGCAATGACTATCGATGAGCCATGTCATAACTGATGTAAAATCATCCTGACCAAGGACAGCCTGTAACTTGTAATGAATATTTTGTCCAGGAATTCCTGGTCTAAAAGCTATGAAGTATAGGACTGTAATTAAAACTTTGACCCATATTTCACTGTTAATGTTGCCATTCAAGTCTAACCAAATATGTGAGCAAGCCTTTCCAGTCGGAACTGGAACTTTCTTAGCTCGATTATGGTTCAATTTGTTACCGGCTACTATTACATCACACGAGAGATTTTCCTTATCAATTAGTCTAGACTCGTAACCACGGAAAGTATACGATTTATCAATCCTTATTATGTCAACAGATCCAGAGGCGATAAGTTGGAGCAAAGAAGCCATCAGACCTCCAGTAATTCCTTCTGATACGATCATGCCTCTTGAAGTTTCTGCTAAAGAATTAATGCCCTCTTGAAAGTGATTGGCCAGATGAAAGAATCTTGGACTGAATATTTTCAGAATAAAGGTGTTTTGAAATTTGTCCGTGGTCACAAAACGAGTACTTGTGTCATCCTGTTGATAATAGGAGATTTCCTTATCCTTAATTAGCCCAGATGTAGCATCCTGTATATCTTCATCTTTGTATGAAGATAGCAAACGGGTTACCTGGTTGCTCGAAAAATCTTCTTCGCGGGTAGAAAATATAGCCTTGAGGATAGTACGGAGATGGTCATGACTTTTGATAATTAATTCAGGCTCTTCTAGTTCATAAAAAGTCGTACCCGACAAAATTGCTTCCTTTTGCCTCATGGAATGGTCCTCCAACTGTTCATACAAATCCAAAGGGTGGTCACTGCTTTCTGACCTATTATATTCCAAGTGATTATCCTCAACCGAGGAATACAAAGGATTTGTATCAATGATATCGAAAACTGAGTTGTCTGCATCTTTCCACAAATCCAAAAAAAATTCTAAGTTGATATTCTCTAAGTCTGACGCTGAAACAAGGCCATCATCTATTCCCTTCATGACAATGTATTCAAAAGCTTCTGTTCCCTTAGTTACAGCAGATAAACCACCCACTTGACGTCTCACAACAGTCCACTTTTGCTTGATTTCGCGAGCGCTAATTCCACGAAATAAGGTGGCTATTTGATCAAAATCTATTAGACCCTTTTTAAATGTTTTAGATACAACTACTGCTTTGAATAAAGTTGTGGCATCGGTATCATCAAATCTAATTGCCGTACGGTACTTTCTGTTATTACTTGACTTCTCATTCTCAACAGTTTCTTTCTTCTTAACTATTTTTCTTTTTCTACGTTGATTATGCGTAAGAAAGGATGAAAGAAGATCCTTGTTATCAGCCTCGGCATGCTCTTTAATTCCCCCAGAAAAAGAATTCTCCTTACCTATCAATTTCTTATGTTTAGATTTTGCATCTGAGGTATTATTAGGCTCCTGTTGATGAGGATCCTTAGTTCTATTAGCGGTACCCGAAGATTTATAAAGGGTTACTTTATCTTCGATAACTCGTCTCTTAATTGTGAAAGACAATTTGGTCCCGTTATCTTCCATGCATTTGGATTTCATCTCGTCGATTTGAGTATCTGTCGGACGCCATTTGGGATCATTTAAAATTAGGAGCTTTCTGGAAACCTCCTGACCAGACCTTATTAAGGGAATAGTCCTTGCTTCGAGGACTTTATCTGAAATCAAAACAGAAACGTCTCTTGCAAGAGTCTTCTTATCAGTAATAGTAAAATTACCAAGTTTTTCATCAATCAAACGACATAGCTTTGTAGTTGTATACGTGACACCTCCTAACTCTTTAATTATTTCAATTAAAACCATTCTCCTCCTGTTAGCCTTCAAAGATAAATTGGAATTCGCTTTAGGCGTCAGTGATGAGTTTCGCTTTCTAACACTGGATGTATGGCCATCTTTTGGTATTATAGGTTCCATCTCATATATAGTAGAGGGAGTTACAGACGAGTCCACCTTATCAGCTGGAGTGGCAGACGGGAGTGGTAAGGATTCCACTGGAAGCAGTTTACTAGAACCTGGTGTTGCTTTAAGTGACTCTTGATGTTTTTCCACCTTTGATCTTTTCAGCCCATTGCCATTAGTGTGACTGACCTTTCTTTTCCTTGCATTTACCATCGAGCCTTTGGGTGTCTTAGATAATGGAGTATATAATTTTTGATTTATATCTTCTAAAGACATCTGAGATGTTTCCATTTTCAGTTCAATTCTTTTCACTACGGATCTGGCTTCATCGCCAATTCTGAAATACCTATAGAACTTATACTTTCCTTCAAAATCATAGGCTCTGCCAATAGCAAGGTTATTCAGTATATCGAAGTCCAGACCCAATGGTGATAATTTGTCACCGTCGATGTTATACGTCGTAATCAAATCAAAAAGTTTCACAAATGGTCTATAATCTGAAACTCCAGTCAAGTTCCTTGCCAATTCCATTGATGTGATACCAGGTTTACCACACTTGCTTATGTATTCGAATATTTGATTCGTCACTGGAAAAAAATTATTAATAGCAGGAATTTCAAAGCTTTCCACTTCATTATCCTGCGCCAGATCATCTGGGGAGGGGTTGAAAAAATCAACATAATCGGATATCTCATCTGAACCTTTCGGAATATCTCTAATATATTTGATGCAGTAGACTAAGTGATCATTTGTGTCTTTAACCATCAATCTTTCGACATAGCCATGAGTATGGAGAAACTCAACTATTCCTCTAAAAAACTTACTCGATGACTGGCTCTTATCTAGGTTTAACTCACACTTAAGATCTTTAAATCCTCGCAATTTATTTGGCGCTGACTTAACAGCATTGACAATATAATGTTTCAACTTATGGACATTCCGTGATGTCTCAAAATCGGAATTAAGATCAGATGCAATAGAAGTAATTTCATCATTGGCAAACTTGAAATGTACACATAGGCTAGTGTGCTGACTTGTCTTTTCATTGTACACATTTTTTCTCTTTATTAGACCCAATTCTTCTAATTTCTTCAAACGCAAAGGCAACGATCGTGGATCCTGTCCAGTTGCCCTACAGAGGTCCGGCGAATGGATTCCATTGGAACCATATTTTGATATTTCACACAAAAGTTGGAACGGGTATTCTCCTAATTGCTGCTTCAATTTTTTTGAGTTACCAAAGCCAGTAAGGTACTTCCATTGTGTGTCTGGAGTGGGCACAATCCTTAGATTTGTATCTGATCCAATCGAATCAATAACACTTTGATATTTTGGAAGAATAGTAATGGGCACTCCGTCTTTAATTATAATAACATCTAAGGGTTGTCCTTTACTCTTATAGAAGAATAACCATTGCCATACAACTTGCTTTTGAAAGTCATCTAATGTAGGCAGTTCAAATTTATGCGAGACTATGCTCCACATTTCCTTTAGTGTGACTCCATTGTTACCAGAAAACGAAGTAGTCTCTAATATATGAGCCACTAGCTCCCTAGGGGTACAAGCAAACAGCATACTTCTTTTAGAGCAGTATTACTTAAATGTAGATAACAGAAGAAGTAAACACGAGAAACACTTAACGACATTAATGCATCAAGATGTCGCGTAGACATTTGAGAAGCAGATGGCTTCAAATTTTTTTAGGCACAATCAAAATCAGTTGATATCAACAGATATTATGGACTCGGACGACGACTCTTTAACTCTTTCATCTCATGCTTTATCTGCTCTAGCTGAGTTCAGGAGAGAAGAGAAAGAAAAAGTCGAGCAGCTCGAAAAGTTATATAAAGAAGCTGATGAAAACTTTAAAAGTACTAAGAAAAAGATTTCAATAGATGCATTCCAGGAAGATTGGCAACTTTCTCAGTTTTGGTATAGCGATGAAACCGCAGCTAAACTTGGAAGAGCCCTCTTGGAAGGTGCTGACGAAGATACTGTGATAGTGGTTGCAAGTGCACCCTCAGTATATGCAGCCATCAAAAACTTTTCTGAAAGTACAATACCCACTAAACATATATATTTGTTAGAATACGACAAGAGATTTGAAATTCTAGCAGGATCTTCTCATTTCAGGTTTTATGACTATACTAAGCCGAAAGACATCCCAAATGAGCTTCGCCATAAATGCCATAGACTTCTCATAGACCCCCCTTTCCTAGAGGAGACTTGTCAACGCAATTCGGCAATTGCTGCTAGGGAGCTACTCACTATTGAAAAAACGAGCGTAACAGCAAAAGGCGACAGAAAATACAAGCTTATTTCTTCCACTGGTGAGAGAATGAAGAATTTGATCGAGAAAGAGTACCCTGAAACTAGAATGACAGATTTCATTCCTGAGCATAAAAATGGATTAAGTAATGAGTTCAGGTGCTACGCTAGCTTTGAATGTAGCGAATGGAAGTTCTCCAAGTAATTCATAATCCGTATATTATACCTTTGAATCAATTTAATATCTATTAATAGGGCTCCAAAATAGATGATTTCCAGAATTTTGTGCAAGTTCTTGTAATCTCTATTGTAAATAAATGTAAGCCAAAACCTTATACATGTTTCTTACCCGGATTTTTACTGTTCTCAAATTAACTACTTATTGAGTAAAATACATACCTACGATGGGCACGAGAAATTTTGATTCGTACTCATGTTGCCCCTTCTGAATATCGAAAAATTTTCCACTCGAAGTGTTACGAATTTGCTTATAAGCTAATTAATATTAGAACGATGTCATTTTCCGATTTCACTAAAGCTGAGACGCTCAAGTCATTAAATCAATTCTTGGCTGAAAAGTCTTACATTGAAGGGTAAGTGTGGAATTATTTTTATGATAAATAAACTTGACTTCAATCAAAGATCCTTCGAAGGTATCAACCTCAAGGAATATTTTACTGTGATGATCGTAATCTTTGGTCCGTGTTTATGAGGTGGATTCAAGACCCACCGTATGAGTGACAAAGGAGATTTAAATAATAAAAGCTGAGAAATTTCTTGTAAAATTGAAGTCTGATTTGCCAGTTTATAATTTCCTATACTAACATAAGTTAAGCTCATCTGCTACTCAAGCTGATGTCCAGGTTTACAAGGCATTCCAAAAGGAATACCCTCAATTTAGCAGATGGTTTAATCACATCGCTTCTTACACGGAAGAATTCGATGCCTTACCCGCAGGTAACGTCCCTGCTTCGAAGGAGGCACCGGCCGACGATGACGATGATGTCGATTTGTTCGGTTCAGATGACGATGAGGTAGACGAGGAAGCTGAGAAATTGAAACAAAAGAGATTGGCCGAATACGCCGCTAAGAAGGCTGCTAAGGGCCCCAAGCCTGCAGCTAAATCTATTGTTACCTTAGATGTTAAGCCATGGGATGACGAGACTGATTTAGAGGAGTTATTAGCTAACGTTAAGAGTATCGAACAAGATGGTTTAACTTGGGGTGCTCACCAATGGATCCCAGTTGGTTTTGGTATCAAAAAATTGCAAATTAACTTGGTCATCGAAGACGCGAAGATTTCATTGGATGACTTACAACAAACTATTGAAGAAGATGAAGACCATGTGCAATCTACTGATGTTGCTGCCATGCAAAAATTATAATCCAAATCATCTTTATTGCATGGTGTATCTATATATATTGAATTTCTAATAAATTTACAATACATTTTCTAATAGAGAACTACGTCTCTTTTTTTACTATAAAGGTAAGTAGTCGTTATTAGCATCTAGCCATTCTTCTAACACCTCTTCTTGGGTGAGTTTCGTTTCCCAAACTCTAAGTACAATTGTCTTCAAAGAAACTAAAGTTCCCATTTGAGCAGTCGAATAAAGTGTATCCATAAAAGAAAGTAACTTTTCTCTTTGATATTCAGTCTTACATTCACAACCAATTGCATAAACTGGCCATACCATTTGAGTCACCACAGGAGCCCTTGAGTCCATCGAGGCGTAAACATCAATGAATTCTTCGACTATTTTACGGATATTATTCTCCCAGTCGCCTATTCTGGTAGTTCTATTTAAACATGCGTATGTCGCTAGTGACCAGCACTGAGCACCTTTCAATCTAAGAGAGTAGTTTTTCCCGTCGAGAGACACATAATCACGATATTGTAAAAGCTCGCGCTTGATATCTTCATAATCTTCCAAGAGACTAACGTCATTATTCCTAATGAGCTTTTTTAAATCATGTCGTAAAAAGCATACTTTTGACATAGCTTTGAATATTTCACCCGGACAGCCCATCATCTTTGACGTAGAAATGGTATCTTTGGAAGATCCATACCAAGTTGGAGAACAAAATGGGAGTCTACAATCAGGTGAGACGATTGCACTTACAGTATCATACCACGACAACACCACTACCAAAGATGCCTTTTTCTCATTCTCCATGAGGATATCGTAGAGGAATTGATCTTGACAAATCGATGCAAAAACTTTGAAGAAAAACCTTGAACATGTACTTTTGCCTTTCTCTAAGACAGCAAAAAGTATATGAACATTAACAAGGACCAATACGACAAAAGCGCTAACTTGCTTTTTAATGCTACTTGAAATTGCCTCAGTACTGTCGTGAAGGCCCGATAAACCATTTTCATTTGAGTTGATAGACTTAATTAAATAATCCATGGTCTTATTGATATGAGCCATTCCTTTATTATAATATTCTTTTCCTCCTTGGCCGCATTCATAAATATGGATACATGCTAACGATATGAAACAACTTCGAGCTATATTAAAATCACAATACTTTAACGCCAAGTCAGGCCATGGCGATTCCGGATGAGCATCCAACAAGGGCAATAACTTTTGAAAGAAATGTTTTAATAGCATATTCTCTTCCTGGTGGGACAAAGAATAGAGAGATGAGCTATTCAAAGAACCAGAAATAGCCAGTTCTTGATCATGATGTATCTCGGAATATTTATTATTGTTTGAGTTGGCATCCTTGAAATCGACAAATTCATGATTCGGCAAAATGTCTAACATTGTACTCGATTGTATGTTCGGCTTTTCATTGGAAGCCAATTTTGGCAATGCTTGCACATTTGAAGAATTAGTCTGCGCAGTACCTTTTTCATCATCAGATATTTCCTTGCTGTCGATTGAATCGAACAAAACGCCAATTCCTTCAAATAGTTCTGAACTAAAAAAATCTAGGTTATTACTAGATGATTTAATTCCTAAATTTTGAAATGGACGAGGAGAAAACACTTTATTCTTGACCAAATTGTCAAGTTCAGCAGATAGGTCGTAATTAGAAATGACTGATCGTTCGCTTTTGTCTGAAAAAGAGAGTTTTTTCAGTTCTTGCAAGTTTTCTAGAGAATGTACGATTGATTTCTCCTTGAAACTATCTTTATTGATGACGCTTTTCTGTTTGGGTCTTTTTCTGTTATCATCCACATCAAATGAGAGACGTAAATCATATCCTTCACATGGCCTATTCGTTTTTATGCAATTGTTACAAGATGGTTTTGCTTCGTCACATTTTCTGTGCCTTTATACATGTTAGTTGATTGGGTACAGATAGCTATACAAAAAAGAACAAACATACCTTTTTTTACATGTCCAACAGCCGGTTCTTACTCTAGTGATCTTTCCCATTACTCATTTATTGGAATGAAATGGATTTAAGCGAGTTGAACTAAAGTTACCGATAGTCAGTCTATCTAGATAACGTAAACTGCAAACCTAATTCGTAAACAGGAAAAACTAGCCTATTTAGGAAATAACATAAATCAATATTAGAAAATAAAAAAATAAAAAGATATTCTACATTCTTTAAGCCGACAACTGGGAGAGAATGAAATTGCCATGAAAATAATTTTGTAAAAGGTCTTATGTACGTTTTGAAACATTGTCGGAACGTCATATGTATCGAGCTTAGATGAAATTGTTAGTTAAATATATATCAATATAAAAGAGAAACAATAAATAATCAATTACAATAGAAATGTAACAAGATAGATAGTAATCTAAATCATTGGCAATCAAACGCAATGTAGGAAAAGAAAAAATCATATCGTTAAACACAAGGCGGGCTTTTGGGATAAATCCAATTGCACTAACCTGCACCAATATAAGTTATGCCACTTTTGTATCTCTTCTATGTGTTCCATTTAGATGAGCTTATACTTTTCATGCATCAACAGGGCTAACCCTCCTCTTTCAAGAACAACATTCACTTAAACACACAATATTAGGAAGATTATTTACAAAGTGACCACTACGAAACAGCGAAAAGCTTACTTCTTATTCAACTTATATTACAGGAAGTATGTAAATTCATGATATCTAAATTTATCGCTCTCATTGATTAACGCTCTAAATACAATTTTAAAAAAATAATTCCTGACCTATATCGCTAACTGAAACAAATATGATAACATATTGGACTTAGAATCTTATTGATATTATTGAACTTTTAGAGCTTATTCCGATCCAGGGTATATTTAGAAGTTAAATAAGTATGCTAGCTAGTGCATAGCAGCATTTTTGTATCACGCATAGAATGTATATTTTTGGTAAACGTTTAGAATACTTTTCTTACAAACGTTTTTTGCATCTGTAAATTTGTTTGGTTGCAAATTCTCCTTTCTTGAATTAATCAGAAGCATTATTCTCACTCCTTAAGATATTAACAAATCTCTACTTATTTGATGAAACATGAGGATTAGTGTCAATTGTAGCTACATATTAGTGTGCTTGTTTAACGGAATACAATAGATGAGTGAGAGTAAAAAAATTTTTATATATTCTTACCAAAAATATTGAATCTGAACTTGCTTCAGGTAGTTGAGCTCTGTTTCAGTAATTTTCCTGCCCTTCTAAGTTATGTTCAATTGTCATTTGCTCTCATGTTTTATGGTTCATGATTATCAGAGACATCGGGATTTCGAGCTATGTGACATTAATCATATATTATATATTGCTTTGTACACTATCAGTCATAAGACAAATCAGCTTGTTATTTGTATATACTGGTATTTGAAACTTCTTGCTTCTGTACGCATACTTCAAGTCTTATGAATTTCCTTAGGATGGAATGTTATAAGATTGATGGTATGTCCAGTATTTTGCAACCTAGTAGATTCTCATATCATTTATAGGATGATTTAATAAGTACGAATATAATCTCTTTAGGTAATGAGATGTGACATGTTCAATAAAATTAATGTAGCAGCCATTATGGAACTATATTCAATGTTCTTTTTTCACTAATGTCACATCGGTTGCACTATTCTTTCATTTTTTTCGGAGCTGTTATAATTAATCGAGAAAAATATTATGTTCTTTAAGAATAATCACGGAAAAGCGTCAATATAAGTATGATTGGATTCCAATATGGTGTGAGTGAGTTGAACGAACTACATATCCTAATTTGATTTTTGAATATATCGGTTACGCTTTTTCATTATTATATATTCTTATTTAGTGATGTCTTTGTTGAACTTATATTATTATATATTCTTATTTAATGATGCCTTTATTGAGCTTACTCATTGAGTCGTTATTTATGTTCACCAAGGTGAAAGCTACGTATGCTCCGTGATTAACATGGGCAGACTAATGAATCGAATTATGTAGAGTGATGGCTTTAGTGAGTTACATATCCGGAGAAAAGAAGTTGTTGATATTTCAATATATTGCATCAGAATATGCTATATATACTCTAAATAAAAGTCTATTTCTCACCAGTCAAGATCATCATGCCTCCTTTTATGGGCTCTGCGTTTATTAGGTCCATAATCATCAACTTCTCTCTTCATGTTTTCACGTTTTAATCTTCGTATATTTCTCTCTCTCTCGATTTCACGTTTTTCGATTTCCCAGGGTGTTAATATTTCAACGATTGGCTCCCATTGATCGGTTCCATTATGTATGCTACCTTCTGTAGTTATCCGAATTCCGCTTTCGAAGATCAAGCCACCCAATTGTTGATATTTGTGAAGTTCATGGTTGTAGGTCCCTTCACTTATTTCTTTCTTCAATCTTAGAATCACCTCGTGAAGTGAGTGCGAAATAGCAGGCTTGAATTCAAGAGAAAGGCCCATATCGGCCACGACTATATTAGCAAAGTCTTCAGGAGTGACAAGATTTTGTGCCAAATCCCATTCAAATCTATCTTCATAAAGCTTTTTATTTAAGTTCACTGCTAGATCTATTATGACGTGAAACTCCATATTTTGGGGAAGTTGCAAAGAGGAAACATAATTATAATCCTCAACTTGTTTGGTTATAGACTCAGCTATTTCTGGTTCCAATGAGGATGGCAATTCTAAGTCATTGCAAAGTATTGTTCCAAATTGACCGGGAGTAATCACTAGCTCATTTAAATTCCACATAAAAAAATCCACTAGCTTTGAATTGCCCCCATTGTAATCTAAACTAATCTTTATAGGAATGAGTTGATCACTTCTATGAGCTAGGTCGCTTGAATTCAGTAACTCTGTTATGTTCTTTAATTGAGGTGTCGCGCGAACTGGTTTTAGCATAAGCTTCTGGCTATTAGGCGCAAGTTGATTGTTCAAAGAAGCAGCTATTGATTTACTTGATGATGGATTTTCTTCAAACTCAAGGTCATCATTATAATTATCGAATTCTGCATAGTTGATCTGTTGAGTGTTTCTTTTGGCCGACCTACCTGTTGGGCCAGAGGTAACTATCAAGCTGTTGTCAGGATCCTTCGCAATCCTTACTGATAACCCCGTTGATAAGGCCTGAGGGTAAAAAGCTTTTTTGGTTGAGGTTGTTACCGTCATTCTTTCGATAGTGTTTCCAAGCTGTGTTTACGATAACGCTGAAGATGATTAACTTTTTTAAAATATCAAGAGTATATTTGTATTGCACGACCTAACATCAAAAGACACAATTTATTTCAATCGAGAGTTGAACCGCTATATTACATGGCGTTCTCCCACGATGGAATAGAACTTTATAGTAATATGGACTCATCGGAAGTATTGAGTAGTTATTTACTATCCCGATCTAATTTTGAGGATATTGTCTCATTTGATCAGTTTAAAAAATACTTCCCTAAAGGATACTCGCAAGATTCAATCAAACATATTTATAACAATTTAAAGCTAGAGAGACTTGAAGAATGTATACTTCCATCATTAGACCGTATAAAAAGAGAGTTTGAAGTTCCTCTTAAAGATATAATAGAAAATATGGATAATTCATCAGATCTAAAAATACAACATTATTCTTTAGAAGGTCTTGTCGGAAGGTTGGAAGAAGTGAAAAAAGTTTACGACTCTCAGAATAGATTAGCTGATATCAAAATTTCGGATTCTTTGGAAGAAATCAATACACTAATTCAAGCTTTAGATGATACGGGAGTCGACAAAGATCTTTTGGAACATAAAGATTTCAATAATCTAGTAGCACAAGGACATAAAGCTGTTCAAAAGTGTGAAATCTTACTTGAAAAATGAAAGCTAGGCATTATCTTCTTTTGGTACTGTGCTTGAGATTCTATTTAACTCATCCAATTCCTTTTTACCTATCCATTTCCAAATTTCAAATTTCCAATTCAAACCGTCTCGATCTCCAATTTGGTAATTAGATCCTAATCCACCTGAAATGGGAGAATCTTTTATATATACAAGTCTTTCAATTCTAGAGTGTGTTAATGCCATACAGCACATCACACAAGGTTCGTGAGTTGTGTAAACCACAAGATTGTGACATAAATACGATGTATGTTCTTTTTGTATCGGAGATACAGTTTTTCTTTTCTCCTTCTCTAGCCGGGCAATCATTTCGATAGCCTGCATCACGCTATGCTTTAGGGGATGTCTCTTTCTGTCATCGTATCCGATCGATAAAATCTCAAATCCATGCTGAAGTGGTTGCACTATAATCGTGACATATGGATATAATCTATCTGTATTTTCAGCTTCGAATAAAAGTCTTTCTATCATCGTCCTTTCCTCTTGGATATTAAAGTCTACTGCCTTTAGCATCTGATGGCTAGGATTCCCTTTCCATGATATTGGCCAATATGTTGATGACCACTGGTGAGCTATTTCTTTATTTGAAGGGCTCAGCCTGGGAACTTCGGTCTTGAATAATTTCAAAACTTGCAAGTTCTCTTTTTCATTCGAAAAAAGTTGAATAAGATTTTCCAATTCATCCTTCTTCAATAATGAGCTAGTACATAGTAGCGCCCTTAATATTGGAAACTTCTCCAGGGTACTTATCTTTTCAAAACGCTTCAAATGTATAAATGATTGGTCCTCGTAGGGGCTAATATAATACTTAATGAAGTTGATCAAGTTCTTTGTATATGTCGACAAGATAGTGCAACACCAAACTTCAACCAAGGGAGGCGATACGGAATCAGAAACCATGTCGCTTTCCCTGATTCGCTTTAGGACTTTGCATATCACCCCATTTTCAAAATCTATGTCTCTTTCTTGGATAAACCGTTTTTGAATCTTGACCATATAATTGTATATTCCTTTCTTCTTTAATGGCTTTGGCAATTGCAAAATTTGGCTTAATTTTGAGAATCGCGAATTTTCACTGAAGTATACTAACTACCATGACACGAATGACACGAAGAGAGTCACTTCTTGAACACATTGTTTCTCGTTATTCGATAACTAGAGAAGAGTTATTAAAATGTGATAGCTTTGAGGAAATAGAAGATTATCATGAATTCTTAAAAAGTACTATGGTTGTTTACGAGCCAAATGCGAGTGTTGTTCTGACGCATGGAGCTTACTTCATGAGTGCCAATTCTTACTTAGAATTCGTGGACTCACTTATTTTATTTTTGCTGTCTGTTAAGTCCCCAAACTCAGTTGTCCTTGGTTATAACGATCCTTCGTCAAATTCTGCTTGGAGTTCAAAGCTTATTAATCCTTGTGTTAGTTTTCAAGTTAATCAGTTGAAACACCACTATTGGAGAAAAACGTATCTGTTACTTGGCAAAAAGAACTTTTCGGAAATTCTCTTGACAACGAGATGCTTTACAAAGACTAAAAGTGGAAAGTATTTACAGCTCAATGGATATACAGGTACGTACAAGAGGAACAAAACATCCACGATATCGAAATCATGGATGCTTTATAAAAAGCGATTAATTGGTTCAGGTTATAAGGGTCGCTTATTTCTTTTTGATGGTAGTGCTCATCTTCTTCTTCAGGACATCTTCCCTGGAGAAATAAATTGTAAAAATCTTCCAAAGAAGTATCGCAAAGTAAAACTATTATTGGATCAGATGATATCTAATGATCTGAGATGCAATTACCGTTCATTGTATTCGACTATGGTTTCCAAATGCGGCCCTATAATTTCCAACTTTGATAGGGCTACGCCTATACTTGTCGTTGTGAGGTTCTTGCTCTGCGTCGTTCGTAAGATTTTTCCTTTCGAGGTTTGGGGCTCAGAAAGTAACAGAATGTTGATAGTCCGCCGGATAGCCGATTTCATTAAATCAGGTATTAGGTTCAAAGATGAAATATGTGATATTGTGCATTCTTTAAAATTAACGGACATCGAGTGGCTTGGTAAATCTGTTAATATCACGTCGCAGCAGGATTTCTACATACGTCAGAAGCTTTTGGAGAACTTCATTCACTGGTTTATGTCTTCCTTTATTTGTAAACTTGTGCGGTTATTCTGGTATGTCACTGACTCCTCAAAAATGTTAAATCACTCGCTAGCGGGAGAGGGAGTATTTTACTTCCCTCACATAGAATGGGACATGTTGACAAAGAATTGGCTCGAAGAGTACATTGATAAGCATTTTGATAAAATTTCCGCACCATCTTACCCTATTGTTTTGAAAAATGAAAGGTTTAATATCGGAAAACTTCGAATGGCGCCAAAGCACAATGATTTTAGAGTCTTATGTATACCATACAAATATTCCCTTTCGATGGATGACAGGCCAAGAGAAAAACAGAAATTTGAGTTTTTAGCTCATATGCAACAAACTATTAGACCTGTGAGAGAAATTATAAATTTGAGGGCTCTTGAATATTTCCAGCAGTCGGAATCAAAGCATCCAATTTGTCATTCGGTAATGGATATTGCCTGTTATATTAAACATTATAGAGAATCGCTCATCGCAAAATACGGTCAACTACCTAACATCTATATGGTCAATTTTGATATGAAGCATTGTTACGATAGGCTAAATCAGAACAAGGTATTACAATGTATAGAAAAACTTTTCGAGAACGATGACGATAATAAGCCGTTCTATATAAGGCAGTATATGGAGTCTGACATATTTAGTAATAAACCCAAGGGGGTTCGAACTGTGATAAAGGAATCTCTTAATATTGATGATTTTGACTTTGATAGCTTTGAAGCAGATGGGCTTGGGAAATCCAACTTTTTAATTGACAGATCCCGAACCATCAGGCTCTTGAAATCAAATATTATCCTGATTTCGAAGTCACATTTATTTGATTCCTGTATTGTGACGCAAGAGCATCCATTGTGTTTATACAAGAGAAAATTGGGGGTTTTTCAAGGATTTCCTTTGCTGGCTACATTCTGCGATATCACCTACAATATGATGATTAAAGAGCATTTTCAATTCTTGTATGAACGGGAGAATTCAATAATGCTTCGATTAGCTGACGATTTTTTAGTTATTTCTACCTCGAAAGAGTCTTGTCAGAGGGCTCTTGATGTTATGATGAGCAGTAGTATAAATGATTATGGAGCCTATGTAAATGTGGATAAAACTTCTTGGGTTAGTCCCAATAGCGAAAAGGAACTCGTAAAATTTTTCGGCCTCATGATTAACAGGAAGACGTTAGATATTAATAAAGATGTTGATGCAGCAAGTTGCTACATTTCTCTTTCAAAACAAAGGTCATTTACTCGTGCATACGAGTATCTTCATTGGTGTTACAGAGTTAGATTATCGAATTACCTTCTCAGTTTAGAATTTGCGCCACCACATTTAATTTTCAAGAACATCGATTGTGTGTTTGGTCTTGTATTAGATGCATTACGAAAAAATTTTCGTTATATCTTGATTAAGGAAGGCACATTTGACGAATCCAAGTTTAGAGAGTTCGTGCTTAATCTTTTACACGAGACTGAATCTCGATATCGATCCATTAATCAAATAAATGCTTTTGGGGACATCTTGGAAATATTCAAGGATCAACTTAGATCAAAATTCGGGAGTCGATTTCCGCATGTCGTGAACTGGTTTAGCAGGTTTGTATTCTAAGATTTTAAAAAATTCCAAGTGAATTTTTCAAGTTTTCTGAGTCTTTCATTTGCCTTAATCTTTCTAATTCTTCAATACCTCCGGACTTTTTTAATCTACTATCTTCCACAAAATCTCCGAGCTCCTCTTGAAATTTTGTAAGCTGCATTAATTCCTTTTCCTTTGATCTTAATTTTTCGGCTTTTGCTATCGCTTCCACTCTGCTTTCATGGTCTGGCTGTAAGGCAGCCACTTCATTTAAGACTGCATGCTTCATATCATGTATGCTTTCACCAGGTGCTGGTATGTGAAGCTGTGCAACCACTTTGTTTCTTTTGATTCCACTATGCTTGCTTTGCTCTAATGAACACTGCTCAATTAAATCATATGTTTCTTCGATCTTCTTAATGTCTTCCTCCAAGTCCTCCGTTAAGTCACTCTGTAGATTAAAAAACTGTTGCTCTTCACAAACTTTATCTAACTCTGCCTCCCATATTTTTTTCCAGACCGACCGTTCCTTACTGATGTATCTTATCATTTGATTCAATTCATCCTTGGCCTCTTCAATTTCTTTTTGGGTAAACTTCAATTGCTTCTCCCCAATACGTACGCCTCTTTGAGCTACATCTTTACGTAGCGCTTCCATAATATCCTGCAAGTCGTCAACCTTCGTCAAAAGTGTATCAGAATCTTCAGACAACTTCAAATGGCAGCCCTCCATATACGTTCTGTTAGATGACTTGGTGATGTCTAAGTTTGATTCCTCAAATTCAGAGACCTTGAGAAGTAGATTCTCCACTGAATTTTTCATTTTAGCTTTATTAGATACCTGAACCTGTTTAATTGCTTTCAACTCCCGTTGTATATCGTTAAGCTCTTTTAAATAAGTATTATTACTAAAGTTCACAAAAGTATTTTCTTTCTTGTCTTTCTTTTCCTCGGAAGTCGCAGATTTTAATGTAAAAGCATCTAAAGCATCCTTTAGCTCTTGCATAAGTTGAAGATGATGTTGATCAAGTTTCTCATTTACTTTTTGAATTTTCTCGTCTATTTCATGCTTCCACGGCGCTTCCGTTTCATGTTGGTCTTCTTCTTTTAATATCAAGAGACTTCCTGCTGTGACATCGTCTAAGTTATGCTCCTCGAGCTGATAAGACACTTTTGTGTTCGTGTCTTCAATATATATATCAGGGAAAGTTGTCTTCCCAGGCGAATATGCAAATTTCTCGACAAAGAGTAATCTTATGGACGCGGAGGTCAAAGGTAGCTTAATGTCTACTTTCTTAGTCGTAGAGCCCAAACGAAGAAAAATATAATTATCGTTATGGCTACCTCTTTTTCCTGGAAGCGGAAGAGGCATATTTTTGGCATTATTGACTTCTGTTTGACGTTGGTGCTGAACATCGGGTTTTATTTGATTATTAGACATACTTGTGTTTGGTGAAATATTTGCCAATTTTGCATACTGATATGCACTGAACCTTTTAGAGGCACGACGCAGTATAAAATTTCCCTTCTGGAGTTGAGTTAAAGCATCGTTTGCATATTCTGATTCTTCTTGCACAGAAAGGTTGGAATCAGGAGGCTTATTTGGTGATTCAATGACTGGCTTTGGAAGACGAATGGCGCTTGATTTCTGCTTAGACGGACGATCTTGCGACAATTCTTTTGCTTTCACTTGTTTAGATTTCAAATTTTGAAGCAAAGTCACAATTATATTTCTAATATTAGGTAAATACTTGTCCAAATTCTCTTGACTTGGTGGTCCGCTTAACGCGGCCTCTAATACAATTCGCAAAGCTTGAGGAACATCACCAATGTCAGATATATCTATACCAGTATGTGCAAAAGCTTTTGTTGCTGCTCGAAAATCATTGCCTAGTTTGACATATGCGTCTGAAACAAGTTTATCATCTGCTTCTTGTCGAGCCCATTGCGTCAAGCTCTCTAATAGATGTTTCGTAGACACTAGCAATCTTGTTACACTAGACTCAATTGTTCCTAAAGATTGTCGCTTGTCGTTTGATTTAGAAGAGGCCGTTGTCGATTCTGCCGAATATGTAGACATATTACGCTAACTGTTGATTCTTAAGATTACTGCTTTTTTCTATTTACAACTGAGTATCTTGATCCAAATAAAAAAATAATGACCATATGCACTCTAGTACGATCTAATCGCTCGTATTTGTTTTTCGAATAAAATTCTATTCATTGGTAGCTAGCTAGCTAAATATACAGCATATAGATTAAGAAAGATGAGAGAGCAAAGTAATTTCTAGGAAAACCACTTTTGAATCACATTCATCTCTGAGGAGTGCTTTTGTAACAACGCAACAGCTTCATTTTGCGGCAACGTACCAAGAAGTTGTCTTGTGGAGGAAGCCACCCTCTCAGCGACATTGCCTGCAATTATCTCGTGCGCGAGAGCTTGAATCACAGAGTCAACTACTTTTGGTATTTGACCCATTACTGCTGGGTGTTGGTTATTGATTAGCTCACTCAAGAAAGTATAAGTGAATGGAGCAGCTTCGTCATCTTGCAAAGACGGCAAGAGATTTATCCATTGTTGCAAAACGGAGTCTAAATTAGGGGTTGACAGTCCAAAACTATGACATACCTTGGCAATGGCGCAAATAAAATTCTCAGTCGCATGTACATTTTCATCTGCACGGGCATCTGGGACAGACGACATCTTGAACATTGGTTCTAAGCAAGCTATGCAAAAATCTGAATAGCTGCTACCCCCAAATTGAGCGGAAACGCCAACAGAGTAAGCTGCAGCCTGGCGAATGCCTGCATGCGAAGAAGTCAATGATTCACCAACAATATTGAGAAACATGTCCTTATAAATGACAGAGTCAGGGCCGCAATGCTCAATTAGATCGCAAATAATGCATAACCCACATAACTTTATATTCGTGTTTTCATCGTTTATGAAAGTCGCAACCGTAGAAGCCAAAATTTGAAATGCTGGTAAGAAATTTGACTTTGAATTTTTGAAGATAGCAGAAATAGCCTTATTTATCTCATCAAGTAATTCTTCATCCGTGTACTCATCTTCATCTTCTTCCACATCTTCGGTGTATTCATCATCTGCATTGTCACGTTCTTTGATACGTTCAAAAATTTCAGTCAAATTAGAATTAATAGATTTGGCCAAGAGCTGCAATTGATCGGCGGATAACGAATTCAACCCTAGATATCCAACTGACTCTACTAGTGCAGTATAGTAAGCGACCAATAACTCGGGAACAGGCTCATTTGTAAGAGCATCGACTAACTTATTTGAAATCTGAGACCAAAGGTGCAAGGTTTCATTTGAAGAATTACCTGTCGCATATATTGAACACCTCAATAAAGACGCCAAAGTCAATGCCGCAGATGCACGGACACCATCATGCAAGTAAAAATCTAACGCGGGAATACCAATATCTTGAACTATTTCATTGACCCAAGGAAAAAAATCTCCTTTTAATTGAATTGCATAAGTTCTTAAGAGATCCATGGCTGATACCTTGTCATCCAATGCAGCTGTATGCACTGCGATAAGTTTTCCTGATAGATTTATTACATCCCACTCTTCGTTGGAATTGAACTCCTCTGCTTCCTCTTCTTCCAATAAGGATATATCTTGCGTAGCTCTTGCAGCTTTCAAAAGTGGGGGTAAAACCGCTGGTAAATAAGGAACAAAATCACGGCCTATTATTCTACAAATTCGGCCCCAGCCTTGTTCCAAATATGGTCTTACAGGATCATCATCTTCTGTTGCCGTTTCTTGAATGTGGCCGAATAAGTTAATCAAATCTTGACAATGAGGAGCAAATTTTTCTTTCCCTACTGCCAAAGCAATTAAAGTGGAACACTCGATACATTTTGCCTTTAATAACCGGTTCTCTTTCCCCATATCAGTTTTTAAAACATCAGTTAAGAGAGGCATTAAAGTATCGTAGTACTTTATAAATTTTTTCTCAGCTGCATCTGCAATAATTGCAATTGTTGTTAAAACTTGTTCTTGAACATATCTCTTAGGAGACTGTAATAGACCTAAGAGGTTATTTAAAAGATCGTCCAAAAACGGTTCCAAAACTTCCTTTGATGCAGCCTCTGAAAAATTTACAAGTGCCGCAGCTGCATGTGCTTGAACTCTAGGAACAGACTTGCTCGTGAGCTTAGAGATCAAGGCTGGTAATATTCTGTCCCCTGCCGTCCGTTGAATCACATCAGCAAAATCCGTTGACATTTGACCGAGAGCATTGCAGCAAGCATATTGAACTCTTGGATGTTGATCATTCAACAAGGGTAATATCAAATCGAATATTCTTGGTATTTCACTAATTAAAACATCCGAGCAACCTTCAGCAGCTGATGATAATGCCATCATAGCGGCTTGCCGTTCCCTCCATTCTGAAGAATGAACCATAGTGGGTAAATACCGGAAAAGAGGTGATGCTAAAGATTGGCCATTTAATCTTAAAGCAACGCGATCTAACGCCTGGCGTGCAGCATCATATTCAGGTTCATCTTCATCATCCTCTGTGTCGTCATTATTATTCCATTCGGCTGCATCATCGTCGTCGATACAAACTTCCGTCAACATTGACAAAGTTATTAAGACTATATTATCAGTGTACGAGCTTGTGCGTTTACACATACCTGGAGAGACTTCAGCAAATGTAGTGAGCAATTCTAAGGCGGCCATTCGACAGCTTGAATCCAAATCTTTGTTCTTGGAAACAGCCGCACAAAATTCGATTATCGTGGGAAACATATCTTTGAACATTTTGGGAGCGAGCTCAACCAAGTCAATGAGGGACTCTAAAACAGAAGCTAGAGCCTCATCTTGTCCATTTTGCAAAAATCTAGGAAGAGAGTTTAATAAGTTTGGCAACAATGGGGATAAAGATTGCCAGCTTTTCTTGGGAAGCTCACGAAAGAAGGCAACGAAGGCTGTACAAGCAGCAATCCTAACATCGTCATTTCCATCACCAAATCCTGAATTAAATATTGGTAAGACTTCATTAATGTAAGATTTATCAATTAGCTCAGGAGCAGAGGAGAAAACTCTAAATGCAGATTCGCGTAAGCTTTTATCGCTGCTGGTTGCCGCTTCGAACAACGCTGGTATTAATTCATTCCAAGTCCCTTGTGGTGACGCATCTTCCTTGGCAACTTCAGATATTGCATCCGAAAGCTTGTGTCTAACTTGATTTGGTTGTTGAGATTTAAAGCCTTGTAGCAATATTGTCCTGATTTGTTGCTTAACGGGTTCACTTATGACACCAATAGTTCTATCTGTAACGCTTGAAAGCTCCTTTGGGGACTTTATCGCAACTCGTCTAAACAAAACAGCACAGAAAGACTTCAACGTATCATCATTAGGGGCGCATGCTTGCTCAGCCAAAAAAATCAACAACATCTCAACGTTTTCTTTACTTGACCACTCACTATCAAGTAACTTTTCTGCTTCTGATCTAACAGAATTATCTGCTGAAGATAACCCACCTACCAACTGGATCAATACCCCGTGCATCTCTGTCGGTAAAGCTGACATTTTGAATTACAACAGACAAAACACACTGAAATTTTAAGTTATAATCGGAATATATTGCAAGTTGACTGAAATTTTTAGCACTCAGTACAATCTAGAAGGCCCTCGAAGTCCAACAACGCGCCTTCTTACAATTAGTTCCGCAAAAAAAAGGCTAAACGGTGGAATCGTCTTCAAAACGGCTGGTAAGTTTAAACACAGAAATTTTCTTCTAAATTCTTGGATCTTATATCCAGGAAATAGTTCAAAAAAAATTTTAATGATGAAATAAGTATCACGTGTTGTTGATAGCAAAAAGTAGGTCTAGCGTATATCATCCACTATTTAATGAAGGATACATATTTCTAAGAATGAGAGGGTTCATTAAAATACATAATTCTCTATGAATGTTACAATTCATCTTTTCAAGATCGTGATCACATCTTCATCTTCCAACGGATGACTCAACCCAACGATCTGAGGCTGATGCTTTACAGAAGTACCATACACAAGAGCATTTCTGAAATCAGCTACAAGGGATTTGTGGATAGAATTGCAAAAATCCTCAACAGTGCATCTATCGCTTCTCAAGACAACTGGTTCTTTGAAATCGGGTAACTTGCCCTTTGGCTTAGTGTATACCCTCACCAACTTCAATTTTTCCCACATCATATCCAATAAATCATCTAAATTCCAACCGTTACCCGAAGAAATTGGGATAGCATTTGGAATTTTATAAAGTAAATCTAATTCCTGGATTGAGAACGAGTCAATTTTGTTGAGAACATAGATAGCTGGGATGTATCTTCTTGTCTTTGATTCAATAGCATCGATAAGATCGTCAACAGTAGCGTCACATCTAAAGGCTATATTTGCAGAGTTTATTTTATATTCGGACATTACAGCTCTGATTTCATCATTGTCTAAGTGTGTTAAGGGAACTGTATTTGTAATGTTAATACCACCTCTCTCCTTTTTCGTTATTACTATATTGGGTGGTTCTTTGTTTATTCTTATCCCAACACCTTCTAATTCTTTCTCGATTATCTGTTTATGATGCAAAGGCTTATTGACATCCAAAACCAAAAATAAAAGATTAACAGATCTTGCAACAGCTATGACTTGCTTACCTCTACCTTTACCATCTTTCGCACCTTCAATGATCCCAGGTAAATCCAACATTTGTATCTTAGCTCCCTTGTATTTTATAATACCAGGAACAGTGGTAAGCGTAGTAAATTCGTATGCTGCAGCCTCTGAGTGGGTGCCTGTTAATTTAGACAATAAAGTGGACTTACCGACAGAAGGAAAGCCAACGAATCCTATAGTTGCAACCCCTGTTCTGGCTACATCAAATCCTGCTCCTCCACCTCCTCCTCCAGAGGCACCATCTGTGAGCAACTCTCTTCTCAACTTAGCAAGTTTGGCTTTGAGTTGACCCAAGTGAAAGGAAGTCGCCTTGTTTTTTTGGGTCCTTGCCATCTCATCTTCTATGGCTTTAATCTTTTCAACAGTCGTCATCTCTCTTTATCTATATTTCTCTATCTCCTTGATCCTTTGCTTGATGAAGTTTACTATAGCTGAAAAATTTATATCTATCCAGTTCGTCGTGCAAGTTGATGCTATAAGTGACACAAAGTAAACATCTCTGTAGGAAAAAAAAATCAGTTTTTCACCTTTGAACTATAACATTCACTAAATTTCTCTAGCTAATAGTTTACTCAAAATGGGAAAAAAAACTAAGAAGGGAGACAAAGCTGGTGGAGACTTTTGGGATACCGATGAGGCAGATATTGATACGCCTCAACCTGAAGAATTTGGTCTGGCTCAGGCTGCTGACGGTATAAACTCATCTGAAGCTTCAACGCCCGCTCCAGAAGCTGCTCTGGCAGATGAAGTATCGGGAGATTTTTTGAGTTCAATAAGAAGTTCCAAAAAAAAGAAGGAAGACAAAGAGGTGGAAGAGAAGAGTAAGGCTAAGGATGGTCCTAAAGTTTTGTCCAAAAAAGAAAAAGAAAAATTGAAGAAGGAAGCGGAAAAGCAAAAAAAGAAAGAATTGGCTAACAAGAAAAAAGCACAACAAGCAAGTAAGAAGGAGCAGATCAAGGAAGCTAACAAGCAAAATGCGGCTGCTGCAGTATCATCACCTTCGGCCACTCCAGAGCCAGAAGGGTCTAATGATGATGAAAAAGCCAAATCAACTGCTAAAAAAGGTGGCAAAAAGGTCCCTGCTGGTCTTGCAGCTTTAAGACGTCAGTTAGAATTGAAGAAACAAGCTGAAGAGGAACAGCGTCGTATTGACGAAGAAGATGAACAGCGCCGCTTGGAGGAAGAAAAGAAAGCAATTGAATTAGAAGAAGAGAGAGAAGCCGCTAGGGCTGCAAAGAGAGAGAAAGACAGACTCAAAAAGGAACAATTAAAAGCTGAAGGAAAGCTATTGACCAAAAAACAGAAGGAGGAAAAAAAATTGCAGGATCGCAGACGTCAACAATTATTACAAGCTGGGAATATCACTATTCCGGGTCTTTCAAATAATGATTCTGCTGAAAAACCTAAAAAGGTCGTATACACTAAAAAGAAGTCTTCGAAACCAAAGACATTTGTTCCCAATAAACCTCAGTCAGTTGCTAAAACAACTAAAGTGGAGGCTCAAAATGATGATGACGATGAAGCTTTGGTAGAAGATTGGGAAAGTATGGCTCTCGATGATGACGAGGAGCCGAATACCGTTGAGCCTTCAATCGATGTTGAGCAAGATGTCATCGAGCAAAATGGTATCGAAAGTGATCATAACGACAGTGAGGATGCAGAAGAGGAGACCCAAGATGCTGAGCCTGAGACAAGTGGCAGGGAAGAAGTTGAACCTAAAACGAAGGAAGCTGAATTGGTAACTACAAAAGAGGTTAATCCTCAAGTTGAGGAAGAGAATAATATCAGTTCAGTTTCTCAAAAGGCTACTCTGAAAGAAAAGGAAATGCGCTCACCAATTTGTTGTATTCTTGGACATGTTGATACTGGTAAGACTAAGCTTTTGGATAAAATTCGTCAAACAAACGTTCAAGGTGGTGAAGCCGGTGGTATCACACAACAGATTGGAGCAACCTATTTCCCAGTTGAATCAATCAAACAGAAAACTGCTGTTATGTCACAATATGAAAAGCAATTATTTGAAGTTCCTGGCTTGTTGATTATCGATACGCCAGGTCACGAATCTTTCTCAAATTTAAGATCCCGTGGTTCTTCGTTATGTAACATCGCAATTTTAGTCATTGATATCATGCATGGACTAGAGCAGCAGACTATTGAGTCTATCAGGTTATTGAGAGAAAGGAAGGCGCCATTTGTTGTAGCGTTGAACAAAATTGATAGATTGTATGATTGGAAACCGATTCCAAATAACTCATTCCGTGATTCGTACTCTAAGCAAAACAAGTCTGTTCAGTCTGAGTTTCAAAATAGGCTAGAGCAAATAAAAGTTGCTTTAGCCGAGCAAGGTTTGAATTCTGAGCTCTACTTTCAAAACAAGAACATGTCAAAATACGTCTCAATAGTTCCAACATCAGCTGTTACTGGTGAAGGTGTTCCTGACTTGTTATGGTTGTTGCTTGAATTAACTCAAAAGAGGATGTCAAAACAATTGATGTATTTGTCTACCATAGAAGCTACGATCTTGGAAGTTAAAGTCGTAGAAGGTTTTGGTTATACTATTGATGTTATTTTGTCGAACGGAATTTTAAGAGAAGGTGATCGTATTGTATTGTGTGGCTTGAATGGTCCAATTGCAACTAACATTAGAGCGTTGTTAACTCCTCCGCCATCTCGTGAATTGCGTATCAAATCAGAATATGTACACCTTAAAGAGGTCAAGGCCGCTTTAGGTGTTAAGATAGCAGCAAATGATTTAGAAAAGGCCGTTGCGGGTTCTAGGTTGGTTGTCGTTGGCGAGGATGATGATGAAGAAGAAATAATGGAAGAAGTTATGGATGATTTGACAGGTTTGTTAGACTCTGTGGATAAATCTGGAAGAGGTGTTTCGGTACAAGCATCTACTTTAGGTTCCTTAGAGGCATTATTAGACTTCTTGAAAGATATGAAGATTCCAGTTATGTCTATTGGTTTAGGTCCAGTCTTCAAAAGGGATGTCATGAGAGCAACCACCATGTTAGATAAGGCTCCTGAATATGCTGTGATGCTTTGTTTTGATGTCAAAGTTGACAAAGAAGCTCAGCAATATGCAGATGAGCAGAATATCAAGATTTTTAATGCAGATATCATATACCACTTATTTGATGCATTCACTGAATACCAGAAGAAACTCTTGGAAGTCCGTAGGAGAGATTTCTTGGACTATGCTGTATTCCCCTGTGTCTTGAAGACTATTCAAATTATAAACAAGAGAAACCCAATGATCATTGGAGTTGACGTTGTGGAAGGTGCTCTTCGCGTTGGAACTCCTATATGTGCTGTTCGCCAAGATCCAGCTACTAAAGAGCCAAATGTTATGGTTTTAGGTAAAGTAGTTTCTTTGGAAGTTAACCATAAGTCGGTAGAGATAGTCAAGAAGGGTCAAACTGCTGCTGGTGTGGCCGTAAGATTGGAGAATCCTTCAAGTGCTCAACCAACCTGGGGCCGTCATGTGGACGAGTCCGACAATTTGTACTCATTAATCTCTCGTAAATCTATTGATACATTGAAAGATCCTGCTTTCCGTGATTCTGTGAGCAGAGATGATTGGTTGCTATTAAAGAAATTAAAACCAATCTTCGATATCAAATAGTTCAAATGCACATGATAGCCTGTAATTCGATTTTCTTATTCATTGATAAATGCAATATAGTAGTGAAGCGATTTCTTTCCTAATCAGGAAATCTACAAAATGCCCAATGAACTTACACTAATTCAAATCTTTTTGAACTGTACATCAATACAATATACAAGCGTTTCTACTCAATAGACTTTCAGAAATGCAAGATTTACCACCTATTGGAGGATATGAACCTGTCCAATGGAAAAGAAATCTCCCATCTAGAGGTTTTAGGCCTTCAGTTTATTTTTGGGGTTTTACTGGCTTGATGGCACTTGGGTTTTATAGATACTACAAAGGTGTGGACGAACAACGAGAATTAGCTAGAGAAAGACAGTGGGCTAGATTCAACTTACAGCCGTTGCTCTTAGCTGAAGAGGACAGAAATGTTGCGAGAAGATACTTCTCTGAGAAAGCCAGACAAGATTTGGTGGGTGAAACCATGTCGCCCGAAACGAAAGCTAAATTCGAGGAGGAAATATATCATGATAAATCTAAGTTCCGCGTACCTCAATACAAGGCAGGTGTAGATCCATCTGAACGTTGAAAGTGTTTGAATTAAAGAATGAAATAATGCACATCAAATTTCGAAGTTTTGCTATTCCATACTCCGTGATCTCGTATTATGGAGAAATTAATTTGACATAAGGCTAAGGTTTATATACTACCCTACGGCTTGCGTCTTTTTCGTCACTTTCATTGCATCATCTTTCTGTCTATGTACATTTGGTGGGCACATTTTAAAGTCAATATTGCGCCTAATTAGTGAAATTTTACAGCATGAATATTATCTTCTACAATCTTTCTAAAGCAATTTCATTTGCTAGTACTTCTGATTCTGTAGATCTACTTTGTCTCTAATTTAACTAAAAATTCAGTCTTGAGTCTCCTGTCTGACAATTTCCTGCAGGCCCAGACAGATCCGACGCTCATATGAGTCCTTCAAATTTCATAAAAAGTATAACGAACAACAAAACATTCGTTAACTAGTTGGAGCTTATTAGGATATGTCTAAAAAGATCAATTCGAAGGAAATAGTAGAGGAATTACTAGATAAATATGATTATTTCTTATTTGACTGTGATGGTGTAATCTGGTTAGGAGATCACTTGATTCCACTTGTGGCACAAACTTTGGATTTGTTAAAGAAGAAGAACAAAACGATATTTTTTGTAACAAATAACTCCACGAAGGCTAGAGATGACTACTTGCATAAGTTCGAGAAAATGGGGATTCATGGGATCTCCAAAACGAACGTCTTTGGATCCTCATACGCAACAGCAGTTTACGTGGAAAAGATTCTTAAATTGCCGAAATCGAAAAAGGTCTGGGTTTTAGGCGAACAGGGTATCGAGAAAGAATTACATGAATTGGGTTATAAGACTGTTGGAGGCTCTGACCCTGTTTTAAATAAAGAAGGTATTACCTTCGATCCCAACCACCCGCATCTAACTGACTTAGATGAGAATGTGGGTGCAGTAGTAGCAGGTCTTGTCTTTTCATTAAGCTACTTAAAACTCTCCATTGCTCTTCAATACTTATTGAAAGACAACAAGAAATTGCCCTTCATTGCCACCAACATAGACTCCACATTTCCAATGAAAGGTAATTTATTCATCGGAGCAGGCTCTATCATCGAGACAGTAGCTTATGCCTCTGGTCGCCAACCTGATGCAATCTGTGGTAAGCCTAATCAGTCTATGATGAACTCAATTAAAGCTGATAATCCTCTCTTAGCGGAGAATCCATCTCGTGGGCTCATGGTCGGGGATAGATTGAATACGGATATCAAATTTGGTAAGGATGGTGGACTTGATACATTACTAGTATTGACGGGAATTGAAACTGAAGAATCTGTTTTGAGCCAGTCTGCATCTTCTGCTCCTACTTATTACGCTGACTCTTTAGGTGACTTATATAGCTTCACTCGCTAATTTATTAGACAGTCCAGAAAATCTAGATGTGCGATTTTGTGTAACGTTATGACGTAGTTCGTTTTTATTTGTAAGGATAAGTTGAGCCGTTGTGCCAATAAGCGTAGAATTTGAAGTGAAGTGTTTTTTTTAACGTTCTAAGGGCTAGATAAAGCATTGATAGTGCTGTAGAGTTCAAACAAGGTGTGGGAATTCAATTTCGAAAAGCCATTCGATTAAAGGACTTCACAAGGGAATTACAAGCTCTGTATATACTTTGCCCAGACATATAGGAGAAAAAAAAAAAGAATTGTGACAACACAGTGTCTTCATCTTAACACTTTCTTGGTAAATTACAGAAATACAGTTAGGATTGACAATTTCTTAATCTACTTGAGATTATAAATAATCAAGTAGTCAATTGTATTGTATACTTGAAGTAAACAAGTATAGTAGCATTTTAATCGAGAGAACACAACGAGGGGAACTGAAGTATGGCAGAAGAAAAGAAACAAAAATTACAGGAGACTGGTTTAGTACAATGGCCGGTCTTTTCTGAGTTAGTTGCAATGGATGAAGATGAAGAAGGCTTTTCGAAGTCACTATTCACTACATTCGTAGCCCAGGTTGAAGACACTTTCAAAGAATTTGACGAAAATTTAAAAACACAAAATTTGGATAAGTTATCTTCATTAGGTCATTACTTGAAAGGTTCAGCTGCCGCTTTAGGGTTGGAAAAAATATCATCGCAATGTGAAAGAATTCAAAATTATGGTCATAAAGTCAACTTTGACAATTACTCGTTGAAAGATTCAAAGTTGACAGAAAAAGACGAAGATTATTGGATCGAACTAATTGAGGATGCTTTGGAAAAAGCTCAAGACGGATTTACGAAATCTCGAAAAGCATTGAATGAATATTTTGATGACGAACTATAGTGGCTTTTTTTAGTCTAGAAGAGCTGCCTATGGAACGAATAGATTTTTTTATCTTAGACAATTTTTTCTTTAATCTTCCATTCAAAAGTTTGCAAGGTTCAGTTTACAGGTGCCACTAGTTTGTCCTAAAACTGAAGAAAGATTCAAATTATCCTGAATGAGGACTTTGCTTTTTATTCAAATTTACTTTAATGAATCTACTCAATATCTACAATTTGTTGGCGGCATAATTCCATTTTTTTCGAATGTCCCAATAACTAAATATTCTATGTATATGTGGATATGGTCACCAAAAAGTGCAAGTTTGACCTCAACTATAATGAAGGCTTATCTTTATGCAATAGGCAAAAGTCCATGTAATCAATCTCGTAGGGTACAAATTTCCTAATTATCTCAGGTAGCCAAAGTTGCTTACCCAATACAGAGCTTTTTCCACTAGGGTTAATTATTTTATTACAGGTCTTTATTGTCCATCCTTCCTTCACCGATTTTTTATTGCCATCTATTTTTATGATACTGGGCTCCTTATCATCAGTTAACTGTGAATTATCAATGTAATAATCGCAGCTTTTGAAATCGATTACCTTTGATTCTGAAAACTGGTTCATATTATTCATGTCGAGGGGAATTCTAGACGAAGCTTCTATCCAGCTACCCTCACACTCTTCGAAATCTCCCGGTAACAATCCATCGAATCCACTTCTCACAAATCTCAAACGGTAGTTATCTGGCATGAAAAAAGAATTGGGATAGTGATACCACTCTCTTCCAGTGCAGACATTAGTGAGCTCATCAGTCTTGGACAACCCATTAAGAGCAGAATACGTATACAAAGGGGCGCTATAATTCTCAACTAAATTAATTATGCGGAGTACTGATACCATACCAATCAAAAATGCAAACAAAACATGGACGAGCTTACTCAACACACTTGAATTCACTTTTCCTCCGATTGTTTTTTTAGCGATTAGAACGCTAAAGGGTAGTAATTTTGAGAGCAACAATGATGCATTGAGTATGATAAAGGGGTATATTGGATAAAGGAACCTTTCTTCTTTATGAGCCTGAATGCCAAATATGAATGACCATATCAACAATGGCAAGCTTGACCCAATTAATGTCTTTTTAAATGCATTTCTGTGGTAAAAAAAACCATTCAATAGTATTGCAACGTAACCTAATATTGATATAGCGTTGAAATTCAACAATAGGTTTAATACATAATACAGAAAAGGCTCAACGCCAAATATTTCAGGACCAACACCTTCACCTCCGAAAACATTATAAAGCACAATGTTCAATGGAACCACTGTCACTTCTTGATAAAAGTATGAGTCTATTAATAAGGTCAGGCATACTATTAGGGCCATGGATATCAATGATCCGCCAATTATCGAAAAGATGTCTCTAAATGAAAGTGACAGAAGGACATATAAACCATATGGAATTGCTAGTGCCATCGAAAAGGGCCAGCCAACAACGCCCGCCAAAATAAACCACGTAAAAGTTCTTATTGAATAGTACGTACTTCTCTTCCTGGTCATGCTTGATAAAGCATCAGAAGTAGCCATGGTAACACAGTTCATTGCAAAAGAAGACGGCAATAACGCGACCCCAGCATGAGACATTCCAGGTGCTACTGAAGTCAAAAATAAAAACCAGTAAGCAATTCTCTTACTGTAGGCTCCTTTAATCGAGTTGAACAAATGGATCTCGGTAAAGCAAGTAAATCCACACAATGCAACTATTCTTATCCAGTAGAACACGTAATACGATGGGAGGCCCAAAAACTCAACCAAGTAGTTAACGGGATATGATAATATATAATAGGGTATCAAATAAGCATAAGACCTAATTGCATATTCAGGCGAATATTCCCAAGTTTCTTTGCCAAATCCTCTGGTCAACATATTCAATGGCTCCCAATAGTTGAACGTTTCATCGCAATCTGATATAATCATATATAAAGCTGAATACAATCTGATAGAAACATTAAGAAGCACCAATAGTAATTGAATGACATTTTCCTTATAACTTATCTCTTCCCTTTGGTGCTTTGAGCTCAGCATCACCGTTTTAAAATTAAGATGAGATGAACCTAATGTCAAATGTGCCCAAATCGACTAAAATGGCATTTATTTTTAAAATCGAAAAAATCTAATATCCGTAAATTTCTACTTATATAGTAAGATAAAATTTATCGTAATCTACTTAGTTAATCAGTTTTTCTAACATGGAATCACGAGCTGGACCTACACCAACCCATTGAATAGGAACATGCAAGAAATCTTCGATAAATTTCAAATATTTCTTAGCATTCTCAGGCAAATCATTATAGTTCTTAATTTTAGTGATATCTTGTTCCCAACCTGGCAATGTGACATAATCAACATCAACATCGGCCAACTTGAGTAAATCCTCAGGGAATCCTTCGAGCTTCTTACCCTTGTATGAATAAGATACGCCGACTTTAATGTCCTTAAAGCTATCCAAAACATCCAACTTTGTAATATTCAAAGACGTGTAGCCATTGATCAATGTGGAATGTTTCAAGACAACCAAATCTAACCAGCCACATCTCCTCTTTCTGCCTGTAGTAACACCAAATTCGGCGCCAACAGATTGCAAAGTTTCACCATCTTTATTTAACTGCTCAGTGGGGAAAGGACCTTCACCAACTCTGGTAGTATAGGCCTTAACAACACCATATATATTTCTAATTGCCCTAGGAGGGATACCTAAACCAGTCAAAACACCACCAATACCTGTTGCAGAAGATGTGACGTATGGATAAGTACCAAAATCTAAGTCCAACATTAAAGCATTAGCACCCTCAACCAAGATTTTCTTCTTTTCGTCGATCGCTCTGTGCATGAATTCAACTGAATCTACGACAAATGGCCTAAGAGCTTCCCTATAGCTCTTATATCTGGCCAACTCCTCCTCAACGTCGTAGTCAAATTCACCGTATCTCTTATATCTAGAATTCACCAAACGGTAATATCTAGTCTTGAAGTCTTCCCATGCTCCAGGAGCATCAGAAACTAGGTGATGGACTCTTATACCAGACCTCGAAGATTTGGTAGAATATGTTGGTCCAATTCCCTTACCGGTGGTACCAATTGATTTTTTATTCTCGGATAACTCCGCTTCCTTTAACTTATCAGTTCTCTGGTGGAAATCAAAAACTAAATGTGCCCTTGAAGAGACAAATAATCTACCATCACAGTTCAAGCCCTTTTGTTTCAAATTTTCCAACTCACTGAAAAAAGAAGGAACGTGTACAACGACCCCAGATCCCAAGAGATTCAAGCATTTAGGATTAACTAAACCCGAAGGTAACATATGAAAGTCGTACTTAGTTTTACCCACAACGATAGTGTGTCCCGCATTATTACCTCCTTGACATCTAGCACAAACATCGATATCATCACAAAGAATATCAACTAATTTACCTTTTCCTTCGTCACCCCATTGGGCACCTAAAACAACGTCACACATTTCTAAAATATGACTTCAATAGCTAACTTTAACCTAGGTAATTTGATTTTATCAAGTTTTCTTGTAAGATAATAAAGATTATGAACAGGAAGACTCCCCGTTAGAACCAAGAAGGAATTTTAACAATATCCTGCCAACTCGCATTCTTAAATACGGAAGACTCATCGATCGGAGATTTTTCAAAAAAATTTGACTTTTGGCACACACAAAAAATTAATTGACTCTGAACAAAAGATATAAATAGTCAAGTTTATCTCCAGCTTAAGATAACATTAAAGATGACTTGTTTAACGAACACGTTATTTGATTCTTGACTATGTTACTAAGCTTCATACGGGCAAAGTATTTAAATAGTGGAAGATGTTTGCATCCAGCTTCTTGCTGCAAGGTTCATAAGTAGCAGATAGGTATAGAATCTCGGGGAAAGTAGATAATATGATTAGATATATGAAGTAAATTTTACTGAGAGTGTAGGATAGCGTAAATACGTATTTTTGCGAGAATTAAAGCTTGATGAGGTAGGCTGTTATCAAATTTTCGATTTAGGTTTTCAATTTAATTAAATTTGCGCCGCAATTCATAAAAATACACTTTATCCCAACCTATAAGTAACACAACAATATAATATACTTCAAAAACTCTCTGTTATAATGCTAAGTTACAAAGTACTACTAGACAAAATACCAGTAGAGAACACCAGTAGAGAACATTTACAAACTCTCTGAGCAGAAATTTAACTGTAATTTATTATGTGGACGCAAAAAAGGACTACAAACTTACTCTTCTCATTCTAGCTAAAAGCGCTCGACGTAAGAGAAGAGGGAACAAAGAACCGCATTGGGAATTTGCAATAAGATTAGGTCTAATTCAATTCAACTTTGATAAGATTGCATCGGTAAATTCAGTGGTCGAAGATGAACCACCAATATCCTTAGTTCTGATCTTACCATCAGCAATGACATCGTAAGTAGCTCTAGAAATTCTGTCAGCGTATTCATTTAATCCTAAATGTCTCAACATCATAGTAGCCGACAAAATCATAGCTGTAGGGTTTGCAGTATTTTGGCCCTTAATATCTAAACCAACATGACGACAACCAGGTTCGAAAACAGCATATTCTCTACCGAAGTTGGCACCAGGTACTAAACCTGGACCACCGATCAATGCTGCACCAATATTGGACAAGATGGAACCGTACAAGTTAGGAGTAACCAAAACGTCAAATTGTTCTGGTCTGGCAACAGCTTGCATAGAAGCGTTATCAACAATCAAGTCGCTTACTTGGATACCTGGGTAAAGTTGGCCGACATCCTTAACGGTTTGTCTAAATAAACCGTCACCTAATTTCATGATATTAGCCTTGTGGATAGCAGTAACCAACTTTCTGTTATTCTTCTTAGCAAAGTCAAATGCAAACTTTGCGATTCTTTCAGACTTGAATCTAGTCATAATCTTCAAAGATTCAACAATACCAGGATAAGATTGATGCTCTAAACCGGAATATTCACCTTCAGTGTTTTCTCTAACTAAAGCGAAGTCGATACCATCTAATCTTGATTTAACACCTGGGATGTTCTTGATTAAGACCAAGGAAGCATAGATATCCAATTCCTTTCTTAAAGCAACATTCAAAGATTGTCCTGACGTGCCGGTTGGTGTGTACAAGATACCCTTCAACCCGATCTTGTTTCTCTTCAAAGACTCGACGGCTTCAGTAACACCCTTGCTCTTTTCCAAACCGGAGACATCGACTAACTCCCAGTCTATTGGGACTCTTTGATCTTTGAAAATGGTTTTCACGGAATCGGTGATTTCCTTACCAATTCCATCACCAGGAATCAAAGTAACAACATAAGTTCCACCGTACTTCTTTGGCAAAACTGCCTCTGGACTAGAGAAAGTTGCAAGTGTACGTAATGAGCTCTATTTGACTGTTAGTATTGTTCCGCTTATAAATTATGAAACTGATTTCTTCACAATTCCTATCATCTGTCCAGATCTTCCACTCCGAAGCGCACACTCCGAAACACTGAACACTTCAGCTTTACTTACCTTTTGAACAATGCTTGACTTGAACATCTTCCGACTGCACAAGGATCCTAATTATCTTCAGAAGTCCGTTAAAAATCAATGAATTTTAAAGACTGTAGTTAATTGTCAAAAAAATATAAGAACGATCAAGGGTGTTTAAAGCCAGAGTATTAAGGGAAAAACTTGAAAAAACCTCTGTTCCTTTTGTGTCATTTACCAAGTTAGCGCGGATCCTGCGTCGGTTCCGACTAAGTGCGCGTTGTTATTGGTTGCTCGGCAAGTCTTGTTAGTCCCGGACACCTAGCGACAGCTAGGGAGAATTAGACTAAGATCGAAAGAGTTACCGAATAAATAGTGAGACTGTACAGTAAATGATAAGGGAAATATTTCTCAAGCACGCTGGCTTTTAGCGCATTTTCTTCTTACGACTGACAATTTAGGGAGAGAATACAGCGACCGGAGAGACTTGCGAACTTTTTCAAAATACTTCCAGCATTAAATTTTCATTACGTCGGCAGGTATTTAAAGTATGAGTTTTAGGCAGTTGTATAGGTCCTTACAAAGGGAACTTGCCATAATAAATGAGAATACCCATACAAGGAATGTTGCTAAGGACCTAGAAAGAAAAACAGCTTTGCTTCAATATAAAAGACTTCAAAATTCAAGAGAAGGGAAGTCCATCCAGGAAGTAGAAAAGCAATTGGAGCAGTTGAATAAGAATAAGCCCGAAGTGCCAAGCTTGGACAATACTTTCATCAAGGAGATAGTTCAAGAAGATTCGGAAAGTGAGCTTCCATATATAAAGTTGAATAACTTGTCTAATATCACGGCATTCTTGAGATCGCAGAGAACATATACAGAACTACTTGAAAGGTATAATCCTGGATTGACAATGAGTCAAGAGGAGAATGTGCGTAGAACCGCTAATAGGGTTGGATTATTCGTCCCAGAAAATGAAAAGAAATAAGCGAGAAAATCTCGGGTTGGATAGCCAAGAGGTTGTAGCATGAATAATGATCTTCAATTGTAAAACAATAAACATATTTCTTTTAATATACAAGCTAATATACACCTAATTTACCTACTTTACATTTTAATTTGATTTGATCCTCCCTTTCAACGCATACAGGTTAAATACCGCCAGGGTATTTGAACCTTCTTTTCCTATAGCCACCGCAAGTGACAAACCTGTTTGCCATATCTTCTTCCTCTGCATTTCTTCTTTTTAATTTACAATTACTCATGAGTATTCCGGGGTTCTTCTGCTTTAATATCAAATTTTCCTGGTAAAATTTCTTCAAGCTCTCAATTACTAAAAGGTCGTCATAGTAATTGCTATTCATTTCTTTGATAGTGGGGCGCTTCGACTTCAAGGAGTTGTAGCTAGCAATCAAGTTATAATTGTAACTATCCATTAAGTAAGACATTGCTAGAGCAGAAGACAACTGATCATTACCATCGGCAGACACTATTAAAACCTCAATAGATTGATTCATAGTTTTCAATAATTTGATCAAGCGGTTAATATTGAATAAGTGCTGCTTCAAACTGCCGCTCAATATGGGCGAGTTAATTGCGAATTCTTTGTCACTTGGAACTTCATGTATCAAATTAGACGAGTTTGGATTCGACTTATAAAAGTGGCTCATGAAATTTTGCAAAATTCGATTAAATTTAAAGATGAAATTATTCAATAAATACTGTTCATCGGGTGAGAACTTATCTGTAGAAAAACTCAAATCTAAGCTCAATATAATCACATCTGAAGATATTGCAACCCCGGAATTTTCTAGATGATTCAAAAAGGAATATGTCGGTGAACAGTTAATAATAATTTTAATATTCTTACTTGACATAAATTCATAATCGTCGAGTACATTAAAGGGTCCTAACCAGATGGAGGGAGCAATTTCCAGCGGTTGTAGCTGATTAAATTCAAACAATCCATTTGTATTCATCTTCGCGTCAATAAACTCACTTGATGGTGTACTGCAAAATTGCTGTTGAAACATTTAATCTGGCGAAAAGCAGCAAAAATATAAATTGACGCGTGATATCAAGCACCACTGTACTTCTAGCAAGTCTTTAGACTGGTAATGATTTTGCCTGTTGGTATTACTTTAAGTTTGACTTGTAAAGTCTCTGGGGCCCTTCAGAATTTTTAAAATTTTTTTTGTGGCGGTAGCCTCTCTTCAAATACCGTATCTACGAAGCAATTACGTTACATCCTCCTAAAAATGATGAGGTAATATCCGATAAGTTTTGTGATCATATAAAAATTTTCTAGTCGAGCTTTGCATGCTTTGTCTTAAAACGGGGAATATGTTGATATTACTGCAACTCAAGTCTTAGTGTAATAATAAAGATTCGAATCGAATTTTACAGAAAAAGTAATTTCCGGTATTGCGGCGGTCGTCGGAAAGCAACTGAAACTTGGATACGGGATTTAGACCAGCCATGCACCGAGGGCCTTGGGTACAGTACCGGTTTTAATGGTAAATTACTATCTATAGCTGGTCGGTGGCTTACCCGAGCAAGTGGATGGTTATCACGTAATGGTGGAGGTCAACTTCAGGATCTGCTCCTCAGCCTTCAAGCGCAGCCGAATCCAGAATACACTTCGATATCAATTGCAAAATAGCTCTTCAATTAGACCATTGGTTTACATTTAACTCAAGAAAATGCAAGCATCTTTCTAGTAGAGTGGAGTGATCTTGACATATACCTCTCTGAATAACATATATGAAAGTGCAAATTCAGCTGTAAGATATGGACAAAAAAAAAAGTAGAAGCAGTGTTTCAATGAACTTCTGGATGTGGTTTTGGTTAAAGAAACATGTAGCCAAGTTCTGAAGGATCCTGCACTACTGAAGCCGGAATTTTTTCAATAAAGTCACTAATTGACCATGACCAGATTTTAGGCCCTTACGCGAGCCCTCGATGACAGCCAAAGATCTCGTATTCTCTTTTAGGTACAAGTTAGACCCATATCTTCATAACCAAGCGCCAGAACAAGGTACGCTAGCCACTTATAATCTCAAGGACTTGAGTCCTAAATTAAAATAAACAAACGTAAGTACACGGTTTGGGAGAATTAAACATACAAGCTCGCTCTAAGCATCCATGTTTCCTCAATTCAAGATAAATTTCAATTTCAAAATTTATTTTGCAGCCACAACCAAATGTAGAATTGGGAGAATCAAATACCCATTTCGTGATCGCTCTTACCCAATCTAAAATAACTTGGTATTTTGGATTTATTTTCAATGTAATGACTAAATAGAAGTCCAAGAACTGTCGATTCCTAAGAATGCTTGCAAGTTTGTTCACAGTATGCAAGCCAAATAATTTCTTCAATATCGTTGAGGTCTGTTTCATGCAGTCGCTTATTTCAGTGTCCAGAAAGCAAGTATCAATTCTATAGTATGTCTGTATATCTATTCTTTGTTATCGCAAATATAATATCAATACTTCTATGTTAAAAAATTTGGGTTAACAATTTTCTCACATAATTTTTGAGTTATTACTAAACTTATTTTAGATGAGTTTTGTGTGGAAAAAAAGGAACATTTTCTTGTCTGGAGACCAAATTCTGAATATTAAAGCAGAAAATTATCTCTTCTCGATTCACTGAATTGTATGTATCAGTCCAATTGCAGCATAAAAGGTATACCAGCAGACTGAAAAATTATTAATTTCTTAGCGGCCTTCAACGTTTTCTCTAAAAGTTCAATGCATGGCAGAGGGTCATGAAAAAATTCCTTTAGTCAGTCACTATCTTGATTTCTTCACTACATTCTGTTGATATTCTCAGGCTTCCTGCAAACTCAAGAGAGTAGTCGCTTTCATGAAATGCTGACATAAAGTGCTGACATAAAATGCTGACATAAAATGCACACAAAATTCGGAATTTAACTAATCTAGTAATCATGTAACGCAGTTACTCGGGAAACTATATAACCAAGCGAGATTACTCTCTTGACATGGATAAGGTATATCACATTATTTATTAGATGACAAAAGTACTAGTTACTGGTGGCACGGGCCATGCTGGTTTCTTCTCCATCGTGAAATTTTTAGAGAAAGGATATGACGTGAACACCTCTGTCAGAGACTTACTGAAAACTGAGGATTTGTTTAAAACGATAAAGGACTATGGAAACTTCGATGATGAAGCCATGAGCAAATTGAAGTTCTTCCAGGCTGTATTGGGTGAAGAAAGTGGATGGGAAGATGCTTTGGAAGGTGTTACGTATGTCAACGATGTAGCGTATCCTTTTATCAACCACGTCCCTTTGGAGCAACTCATTGATGCTGCATTAAATGGGACAATGTCCTTAGCTAAGTTAGCAGTAGCTTCGCCATCCGTTGAGCATTTTTGTTTCACATCTAGTTACGCAGCAGTAGCTTTCGGTGATACACCCAAAGACGGTTTGTACGATGGGAATGATTGGACCCCAGAGGATTCCAAAATGTTAGATGGTTACATGCTTTCCAAGATTATTGTGGAGAAGAAGTTGTGGGAATTCTTCAAGAGTGATGAGAACTTGAAGAGTAAGTATCCTACTACTTTTAACGTCATATGTCCATACGGTATATACGGACCTGTTCCAACTAAGCATTACTCAGGCTCTTTGGCTCCATTGAAGTCCGTAATTGATGGGTCCAAAGCTCCCATTCTTGGTTATACTCTTTCTGTTACCGACGTCAGAAACTTAGCAGATGCATACGTTGCTGCTTGCGAAAATAAGGATTCATATTGGGAGAGATTCACACTTCAGACGGATGACGCTATCACTTTTGATGATATGACGAAGTTGGCAGTAGAAAAGTACCCAGCATTAAAGTCTCAGGCGTCTACTGAGAAGACTCCTTTTATATTAGGGGCCAGGTTAGCGGACTGTTCTAAGGCAAAGAAACTTTTGGGATACAAGCCTACTCCAATTAAAGAGACTATTCTTGATTCTGTGAAAAGTATAGTAGTGAACGAAAAATTGGTGTAGTTCAAATTGTGAAGAAGAAAGTCGATATGTTTAATGCTCAAAGAATTTTCTGATGTCTGACTTTGAGCTTAAACTTTCTTACTGCTGCTAATGTTCGCCATGTTCGTGATTTTTTTTAACTATTGTGTTGCGCCTCTTTAAAGTCAGCTTTAGATATATTTATTATTTATGGTTTTGATAAGAAAAACACTTTTCGCTTGAGCCAATATATTTTAGAAAGAAAAATCGAATTAAATAAAAAGTCCCTTATACTTTAGATAAAGAACGACTTGCTAGTCAATGATGCAAACTTATTTCATTACACTTCGACGTTTTGGGAAAAATGTTGCAGCACATCTTGCAACCATGTCTACGTACAGTCTCAAAAAAATAAAAAAACTCTCGATATTTAATCAAAATACTTGAAGGCTCTAGACAAACACGTCACCAGAGATTTTAATAGCTATATCTATGATACATATCTTCTCTGTCTGTTAGATCAAGAGTTAAGTCATAATCGGGTATTTCCCCTTTTTCTGCAATAATGTCCCTCTTCTTGTTTTCACTGATACATACAAACCTATACGAGAGCACTAAAGCTTCAAAGAAAGCCCAAAAACAAATATTCGCAATGAGTCCAGCTCTAAAATTTGGATCTCTTGTATAGTTCCACCATTGAGGGTAAATGATTGCAGCAAGGGAGTAACCAAAGAAGAATATATTGTTGATTAGAGATTTTCTTGTATTTCCACGTGTGTTGGAAGCGTTCAAAGACAACAATATTGACATAATACTCGTTATACATGATCCCAACCAAGACGCGACTATTCTTCCCCAAGGATTAGTCTCTGGCAATGCCAATAGTAATATCGTTCCCACTAATGGAACCAATGCCAAACACATGACCGAGATACAACGTTCCTTAGGAAAAAAAGTAGTCAAGACAACACCCAACCAAATTATACCCAATTGAACGGCACCAGAAGGAGCACCAAACTCCAAGACTTTGGTGCCAGTATATCCCATCTCAGAGATAATGAGCGAAGAGAAGATTATAGGTCCTGAGGTGACCGTGACCAAGAATCCAAAAAGGAAAGAACAAATCGTATAATAATCTAATTTCAAAGACGAGAGCATTTGTTTGAAATTGAACGATGTCCTCTCACCTCGGTCATTTTCAGCAAGTATACGGTTGACAGCAATATGTCTTTCCCTCTCAGATAGGAATCTGGCTTCACCAGGAGAAAGAGGAATTACCAACATAAAAATCACTCCCATGAAAATCGTCAATCCCCCACATATTAGAAACACTACTCTCCAGATTGCAATATCGAGATTATCATTTTTAGAAACACCATAGACCAAGAAGTTGCCAAGAACTTGAGCTAAAGCATTACATGATATCCAACATGCCGTTCTAAGCGCATGCTCTGACTTCTTGTAATAAACAGAAGTAATGATGACGAAAGCAGGAGAAACTGCTCCCTCAAAAAATCCTAATATCGTTCTTAATGCAATAAATCCTTCGAAATTCTTTGGAGCTGCGGTGCAGATACATGTGGCTCCCCAAAGAAACACCGAAACTCCTGTCACAATCTTGATGGGAAACTTACTTAAGGCGTAAGAATTCCATATTTGCGAAACCAATTGTGCAATTGAGAACGCAGAAGCAAGCCAAGAATACTGGCTGCCCGATAAGCCTAAGTCTTCTCTCAAACCTACAACAACTGTGTATGCAACAATTTGCTTATCGAGGTACTGAGTGAAGAAAATGAGACACATAACTGGTAACACCCATAGATCGATCTTCCTAACGACAGCTCTCTCTTCCTCTTTTGAGAAATCGATAAGTTCATTCGGTGACTGAACATTCGAGCTCACAACTTCAGTAGCATTAGATTTTTCCTTAAGAGAAGACGATGTGTTCATTTTATGCTTTAAGGTTAACCTTATTGTTTGATAAAAAAGCGAAACCTTCCAACATATAAGTAGTACGATATTGTCTGCAAAAAATCGCAATCAGCAAAGGCGAGCTGATAAGGGGGAAAATTACCTTTTCGATTGATAAGTGATCACCCAGCTCGCCCAGAACTGCATTTTTCTAAGCTATAGGGTATTTTTTGGGGGTACATAATGCCGAACAGCTTGGCTCATTTGGTGCTCAATTTGTATAGGTTTTGATCTCCTCTCTCAAAATTTCGGTTACATGTACCCGTCAACTAAGTAACTATCTCGGTCGCAAAAAAAAATGGCTACCAAGAACATTTCATTGGTATATAAAAAAGGCTTTTAATGACCATTTTGCTTTCAATCATGATTTTTGAAACGGAATGATGATACCTGATATCGACGTTAACGAAAAGGTCAATAAACCCTTGAAAGAGTTAATAAAACCATGGGCACTTCCGCCTATCAAAAGTTACTGTTTTAAGAATGGGTCGCTTATTGATGTGATAGAGGGTAAAGTCCACGAAGGAGTCTCTGTATTCACAGAAGGAGGTAGAATATCAAAAATTGAAGGAGCTGACGCACTTGTTCCTGAAAATTTTATCACCATAGATTGTAATGGAAAATATCTATCCCCTGGTTTGTTTGACAATCATGTCCATCTTCAAGCTGTAACGGGAGAAACCGATTTGGGGAAGATGATACTCATGACTAAGGCAAAAGCATTGATGAGAGTTGCGCAAAATACTGAAGCGATGTTGAAGAGAGGGTTCACGTCCTTGAGAGATTGTGGAGGAGCTGAAGCGCATGTCAAAGAAGCTATAAATGAAGGGTCGATTATTGGACCAAGATTATTCATTTCGGGTCATGCTATATCTCAAACCGGAGGACATGGGCATATGGTGCCTGGAAATTTGCCAGGAAATGCTTTCGATAGTTGTTCCTGTCATTTGAATCCAGTGTCGGTCATTGCTGACGGAGTAGATGAATGTTATAAAGCCTCGAGGGAGGAACTAAGAAAAGGAGCAGATTTCATTAAAATAATGGCAGGAGGTGGAGTTGCGTCTCCCACAGATAAAATCAGCAACACGCAGTTTTGTGAAGATGAACTCAAGGCACTTGTGAGAGTAGCAGAATCTTTCGGAACATATGTCACAGCGCATGCCTATACGCCTCAAAGCATCAAAAATTGTTTGAATTGTGGTGTTAAAGGTATTGAGCACGGTAATCTTTTAGATGAGGAAACAGCTGCATTAATGCATCAAAAAGGATGTTATTTGACACCTACATTAGTTACTTACAAGATAATGGCTTCTGACCAATTCAGCACTTTCCTTGGTCCGGAATCCAAAGTGAAAAATGCTCAAGTATTGAAAGATGGACTTCGTGCCCTTTTAATTGCAAAGAGAAATAAAGTTAAAATTTGCTATGGTTCTGACTTGCTTGGGCCCTTAGTTGGCTATCAAACACAGGAATTCTTTATACGAGGTAAAGTTTTGAGCGCTCAAGAAATATTGCTTTCAGCTACAGTTACTCCGGCGGAGATGAGCGGTGTAGCCCATGAGCTTGGTCAAATAAAAGTTGGTTATTTAGCAGATATTCTCGTGCTTGAGGAAAATCCCTTGCAAAATATTGAAATTCTTGACGAACCTGAAAAAAATTTAAAACTTATAATGAAAGATGGGAGAATCTTTCATAGCGACTTACCACAAATTCATAAAGATGTAAGAACAACAGTTTTATAAATAAAAGTGTGTCTACTTATACTTATTTAATTAAATGTATGCTTATCGACCAAATTTTCAAATAACGTGTCAACGTAATCTAGTTCATCCATTGGGATAGACTCAAAATTATCAAGATAAAAATTCTCTGGGATTAGATTCCAAGTAAATTTAAGACTTTCTTCATCTTGCTTTAGTTGAAAATCTGCATTATCAAAATAATTGCTTTCAGGAAATACTAATGACTTATCTACCCTCCACATTTCGGGATGATCCTCTACATCTTTGCTATCAATCTGATCAAGTATGTTGGTCAAAAATTTTAATCTCTCTAGTCGTGATAGATTTGTTCTTGCGCTAAATGAGCCCTTTGATAAAATTCTAAGGATTTTAAATCCTTTCTTCAAAAAAACTAATGTACTGGAGGACCTATCAATTTTAAGAAAAGTGATTATGACAAATAAGCTCAAATTACAGAAATTAAGGTCAGACCTTGAATATACTCCTAATTTTCTATTCTTCTCGAGTGAAGATAGAACATCAAGCACACTGAAAGCAGCATCAATACAAATTGATGCTAAGCGGTCCACAAAATTATCTTCAGTCCCATTAGAATTCTTCATTTCTTCAAAATTTTCAATTTTATAAGCTAAGAATGGTTTGCCTAGGTAAATTTTTGCAAGAAAATAGTTGAGTTTCAAATGATTGTTAGCTCTGTATTGATCATCATCTGGATTCAATGTTGAGTTACATGATTTAGGAAGCGAATCTTTCCAAATTTCAAGTTTCAATAAAATGTCTCTAATAATACTGGACTCGAGAGTTACCTGCCCTTCCTTATTCGCATAGTTGTTGTTCTTTCTGAGACTTAAGTTCGAAATTTCAATCAAAATAAACGTGAGTTTTATTAAAGCAGTTTGATGTTCATGATTTGTTCTTCCATTTAATTGCCTTAATTCTATAATATCCTGTGGTAACTCAACAGTTATCTGTTCTCTTTTAATTACCCCTGACCTTTCCACATTGATTCCCAGTAATCTTTCCAGTACGTAACACGACCACCAGAGCCTCTTTTGAAATTCCCTGATGTCAGCAGGCTCATCTTTGAATGTGTCTTTAAGATGCAATTTACTTTGTACAGCAAAATCAACTGCTAGATTAATGAACATATAACCTTGGTCAATTATTTTCGAATGATCATTAAACTTATTTGTGGTCATATAGAGACCCAATAGTAAAAGTGTTTGAATGCTCTCGGTAGTGATTATGTTCATTAACATACCGACAAAGGGTAATGCAGCTTTGTAGTATTTATAGCCTGGGTGGCTTGTACTATCTGTAAGAGAAGATATTGCCTCTGTTCTGGAGTCGTCAATGATATAGTCAAATCCAGAAGAGACTGATAGCATACTTAACAATGATGCAACAAATGTCCAATTTTTCATCAATTTGGAAGTATCTCTGTTTTTTCTCATTGCCAAAAATCGAATAACTTCCTTCATTATCTTCTTAGGATAAACAAAGAAGAAATTTGTTTCACAAATCCTCAAAAACACATCCATTTGAAATAACACCTCTTTATCAGAAGGTAAAACAGCTAAAGCATCATCAAGAATAGAAACAGATACAGAAGAGAACCTTTCTTCAGGGTTTTCGGCATCTGTTTTGTCATTTGGATAAACTGAATTGGTGACTCTATTTTCGGACTTCTCAATGAAATCTAAAAAGCTATCATAAGTAGTGGAGACATACTGAGAATTTACATTCTTAATTTCGTGCCTTTCCTGCGAAACCTGTGAATTGTCTTGATTACCTAGCACTGAGTTATCCATTTCGCTCGTCTCAGACAAGGGCCTATAATCGGCCCAAACCTTTCTTTCAATTAAATCAGTATCATTCCTTAGCGAAACTAAATCAACACCTGGTAAAATATGCTGTATGATCCTTTCTAGCTTGCAAACATAGGCTTTAAAATCGTCTAAAGAATTGCTGCAGAGTTAGTATATCCTTGTTTTAAGGAGGGGAAGCTGGATACATACTAATCGGCTTCTCTGTCTTTTTCACCCTTTTCAATCTTCATAACTTTACATTCTTTAAGTGTGCCTGAGCACCTCTCACAGGGAATACCTCCTTTACATCTTAATTTTCTCATACGACAGTTTTCACATCTTTCCTTAGTTAGTAATGAAATATTCTGTAATATTTAATGGAACATACGCTGCAGGTGCTCTCTTCCTTTGATTTAAAGGTACTCTTCTTCTATTCCTTGGTATATTTGGCATATTAGCATTTCTTATCATACCATTTAAATTTTTCTTTTTTTTGGTCCACAATATTGGTGAAAAAATATTCCATGCGGACTTGGAGTCAAATTTAAGTATAGCTATGTGACGCTAACTGTGTCAGATGATAGTACTTAGCTTGATTGGAATTATTTTTTTTAAGAGAAGGACGCTTGAAATTACAAACAGAAGAGATACTATTAGTATTCGAAGGAGATATTAAGTTACTTTATCAGCCAACTAGAGCTCTTAAGAATATGAAAGATTCATCAGATTCTTTCTTTACTGTATTCAGACCACCTTGAATAGTAAGATAGACCCTTATCGTCTGGAATAATTCGAGCCATAAAGGACACCGGGTACATGTACCCGACTAGGCTGAAAATTAATACTAGCTATCAAAGCTTGAGTAAGTTGGAGTAAGATCGCTTTGCTCCCCTCAAAAGCGAATATTCTCTTAAAATCGCTCAGCAACAATTCTGTTTGGTTTTCGAAACCTAATGGTATTCAATGTCTTCTGTTAGATGAACAGAACTACAAATTGAATATGTTAAATTTCACATTCAAAATTACACAGAAATTATAACTAAAAGGAAGAAAAATACTGCAAACAATAAAAGAGTCCCTTATTGATAATTTTAAACACATAAATCATAATTGGAGTTAGAATTATAGGCGAAAGTTTAAGGAAAAGATGTCTCGAGTACGTACTCAAACATTCAACAGCCCTTAACACTAAATACCATCAGTATTCAAATATGCAGGATGCGAGATAACTGAAATTAGTTTTTTTTTTGGCAAACTATTCCGGACTTATATCGGTAGCATTGAAACAAAGCCGGACAAGATACGGGACTATAGCCGAATAAGTATCGAGGGTAAACGGGAAATGACCGTCCGCGAACCCATTTGGACCGGTAGATTACCGAGATGAGATTGAGCCTGGACCTTTGAGCGAGCCCACTATGGCCACAAAGTCAGAGGCTGGCCGTCCTGGGCGTATTTCAGTCCTGCACCTGTTTATGGAAGACCGAATAGAGTGAAGAGGGGGCGTTATCATGGGATGAAGCACGTGCTGCATTTATGGAGTCCAGCACTAGGGACGCCTCCTCCCCGCTAACTAGAGCCACCTGTCGCTAACTCTAGGGAGAAATGGGACGAGCAACATTTCGCGGCAACTTCGATAACCTAGATGGATCTACACTCGAGCACTCAAGTGTACTCATATCAGATCATATTGTTAAATAGTTAAAACATTTAGAGTATAATTAAGACAATGTTCAGGCCACTAATTCAACTGACTAGATTAAACTTGGGAATTGCAAGATTTAGTACCAAGCATATGTGGAGGCCACTATCTCAAACTTCACATCAATTTGCTAGCAATATCACGGTTAGGACTTCGAACAGAGCAGGCTTGAAGTTGTTGGGTTGTGTAACTGGTGCCCTTGGATTTGCCAGTTTCTTAAATAGATCTTCAGCCGTTCTCAACGAGACTTACCGATCATCAGGATCACTTGGAGGACAGGTTCAGGCCGATGTTACCAGAATTGAGAAGTCAGCCAAGACTAGCAAGTCGAGGTTCGGAGGCAAGCTCAATTATCAAGAGCTTTGCATTGGATCCGTTACGGGTTTATTCTTGGGAATTATTGCTGGTAAGTTGAGTTCTGTAATTGTTTTTTTAACTCTTTCGAGTTACTTGCTACTTCAGTTTTTACAATCCAGAGATATTATCACGATTCCCTGGAAGAAAATGATCAACGTTGGCTCGGAGTCAATTGATATCAGAACATTAGTGTTTGAGAAACTAAGCTTCAAAATCTCATTCGTGTCATCATTCTTAATTGCAGCGTTTAATGTATAGCTATGTTCTAAATATGTAACAATTTTATTGACTGGACTATAGATAAGAATATAGGATTAGTTCAAATTTGCAAAGATATCAAACGAACCTGTTCCAATGTTTGCTAGCTTACCCATGACAATGCTTGCGGAAGGAGACTCTATTTCTTCTTTATCTCCATCTAAAACGGCTTTAGTTAAGAATTGACAGGTGGTTTCATAGGACATTTTCATGAATGAAGAGGTGGAATTGTCAATGCCTTGTCTGTTGAATGCTAAATAGGTACCATCTCTTGTCATCATATCAGCAATTAAATCCAAGTGACGAGAGGACACACTGATTGCGTACCTATCGAAAACATTATTTATCTCATTGACAATCGTGTTTCTTGCGGCTTCAACACCATAAGTCTTCAAAACAGCGTAGATATCATTTGAGGTTATTCCATTAACATCGATAAAGTCATCTTGCTCCCACATGGCTTGGAAGTTGACACCTTCAGTCGTTAATATGCGTTTTCCATCTGCTCCTGGTTCTGGATGGAGACATCTTCCTATTCTTGGAATTTCTCTTACAACAACCTTTCTACATAATTCCTCTATGATGTTGACCATCAACAATTTTTGTGAAGAGCCATCCAATTCTAATTGAAATTCACACCATTCACCTCCTTCGTCATCAAAATTGAATTTAGTAATTAAATTATGAGAAGAAATAACTTCAGCTTGACGGTCCTTGGCAGCTTTAGACAATTGAGTTGTTTTCTGTTCCATATTAACGTCTTCATCTTCGTTCTCCTCGCCTTCATCAGAGGAGGAAGAATTGACCGACTCTCCATCTTCCATTTCTTCATCACTTGTTTCCTCTGCTTTCCTCATAGTTTCAATTTCATCATCATCTGGACCATCATATGAGACGGCTTGTTTTACATTGCTATGTTCCTTTTCGTCGGTTGCATCATTTTCATCCTCAAATGTGGTAGCACCCTCTTCCTGAACTTTAGGTGCAGCCTGTCCCACTTTTGGCATATGATCTGGTTTCTTCTGCTTCTTGAGTTCCTTAGAAATTTGTGTTTCTAATACATGTAAGAAGCTATTGGTAATAACATGTTCCAAATGACTCTGAGAAATATCATACTCTTGACCGTATTCCTCTTTGGAATAGAAAGACATATGAACATTATAAGATTTCGAATTGATACTATCATCAGATGTACTCACAGTCTCTGTTACTGTAATATTATCGATAAATTCAGATAAAATGACCCTTGCAACAGATTTAGAGAACAAGTCGGCCTGGTCGTCATTAACATCGTTTAAAATTGGCAATGTCATCTGAGGGGTCTTTATGCTAGCTGAGGCGGTCATGATGATTTCTCTCATACGAGGGATACCTAACGTAACATTAGCAGCACCATGACCAGCAAAGTGGAAAGTATTCAAAGTCATTTGTGTTGAAGGTTCACCAATCGATTGTGATGCAACTATACCAACAGCCTCACCAGGACTGATCAAAGACTTCATATATTTCAATTGCATCAAAGCACGGAACTTCTTCTCAGTGACACCTCCCAGGTTCTTAGCTTCCTTTGAAGATTTAAATAAAGTTTCGTTTTGAGCAATAAAGTTTTCCAATTTATCTTGGAAGCTCTCAGACACTGAACCTAGATATTTAGCAGGATTATAAACACAGAGCACTGGATCGTATTTAATAGATTGCTCGTACGGGGGTAAGCTCTTCTGTTTCCGTAAGCTTTTACGGACCTTTTTGGCGTACTGCAATGCAGATTCAGTATCAAGATGATCCACTAATTCAGAAGGTTTATACTTTGCAATCAAAGAGTCATAGTTATCAACACAAAACTTAAATTGATTCATGTGTGATTGCTTAGTAGTATCAATTGAGTCACCACCATACAAAAATTGAATTAAAGCACCATCACCATCTCTAACAGAATTATCGTATCCAACATGTACACCTTCTAATTGCTTAGTCAAACAACGTTGCAAGTAACCTGATCTAGACGTTTTCACCGCTGTATCAATTAATCCTTCACGACCTGCCATACAATGGAAGAAATATTCTTGCGGCCTAATTCCGGAATAGAATCTTCCTTTAATATATCCACCTGCTCTGGAATCTGTTTCAAATGGTTTAAATGATGGTAAGGTCTTACCAGAAACCATAACTGGTACTCTTCTTCCTTCTAATGCTTGCTGTCCTAGTAAACACATAATTTGTGAAACATTGACATTTGATCCTTTAGCTCCAGATAAAGCCATAGCTTGCATTGAATTATAAGGGAAATGCTTCATAGTCCCATCTGGAACACACTTAGCAACGACCTGAGATGTAATGGAGTTTACCTTTGATTGTGTTACCGCATCCAAAATACCCAAGTTGTTATCATCACGAAGGATTTCTTCTAAGCGTCTTATTAATTCAGGGTCGCTATTAGACGTTTCCTTATCTAAGTTTACAACTTCTACAGCCGCCTCTCTGCCGACATCAACAGATTTTTTCAAGATATCTTTTCTCCAAGTGTTTCCTTCTTCAGTCAACCTCAAGTCATCCATACCACAAGTGAATGCAGTCATCATTATGTAATTGGTAAACAATCTACCCAAGACAGATAAAGATCTTCCAGCAACATCAGGACCGTATATTTCATGTAAGGAATGGACAATACCATACTGAGAAGCTCCATATTGAGATTTGTCTAATATTCCACACAAGAGCTCACCATTCTTAAATATAACCTCATTTTCATGGGAATGTGCGCCCCAATATTCATTCTTGATCTTGTTTTTTGACACCAAGTTAACACCTGGTACATTTTTAGGTTTAATATTCAACAAAACCGTGGTTATAACCTGCTTTCCTGTCCATAAAGGCTCTGGTTTAAAGATGGTTGGAGGAACAGTCTTGATTCTGGTGCCTGTTATATGCCCATCTTCAGGTCTAATACAGCCGTATATAAGTTGTTGATAAGTTTCCCTGTTGAAAAAAGAGTCCTTATTGGTAAGCCAAACTCCTGCAGAAATATGATCCTGAATCAACCCTCTTAAAGGTGATCCGGAGGTAGGTGTGAGATATTGAGAATTAGTGTTTGCCAAGTTCATCGCTTCAGCTTTTGCATTTTCGTTTTGAGGAAAATGCATGTTCATTTCATCACCATCGAAATCTGCGTTATAAGCTCCTGTGTTAGCATAATGTAAACGTAATGTCTTTTCTCCTGGCAACACTCTGACTCTATGACCCATCATTGACGCTTTATGCAAAGTAGGTTGACGATTCATTATCACGAAATCGTTATTCTTGATATGCCTGTACACCTTCTTATTAATTACGGAAGCACCATTTGAGGGAGTAAGTAATTGGTTCGCAACACTCTTACGTTGCTCTAAAGTCATTCCAATTAAGGAAATCAATGAACCATCTTCGTTTTGAACTTGGATGGCACCTGGCCATTTTTCAGGACCATTGATAACAGCAGCTCTCAATGCTGCTGCATTGTGAGAAGTGACGGGCTCTGGATATGTCAATTTTTTAGCGAAAACAGGAGGAACACCTATTTCGTCTGTTTCTAACATAGGATCTGGTGAAATAACAGAACGAGCAGCGTAGTTGACTCTTTTACCCATCATATGCTTTCTGAATAAACCCTCTTTCTTCTCCAATGCTTGCTTAATACCTGGGTTTGGTACTTTTCCAGCAGGAGCATTTTGATTTTTTGAAGAATCTATCAATGCATTTACATCATTCTGAATAGTCACGAATGAATTCATTAATCTATTGAAGATTATTTTTCTTTCATCAACAGACAATTTTCCTTTCTCAAGGTTTGATATCTGATCATTCAAGTCCCTAATTAGCAAACATGTTCTCAAAATATTAGATAACAATTCATTCTGAGAATTTTCGTGAATTTCATCACCTACACTAGAAGGCAATCTAAATCTTGTAGGAGGAACGATTAAAGCTTGCAAGAAAAGGACGTCAGCAACTACTTCCTCCTTCGATGTTGGACGAGAATGGAAGAGCTTTTGCATGAGAGGTTGTTCATTCTTAAAAACTGCCCTTAGAATGTTTCTCACCTCATTTGACAACACGTATTTGATACCTGATTTGTGTTTGATGTTTGGCATACTTTCGTTTGCTTGGCTTTTATTAGAGGCTCCGTTCTTAAGCATGTCAGGACGAACAAAACCTTTAATTCTATTATTCGAAATCTGTTTGTCTTTTAATGCTGATTCAAAGATCTTTGAAACTCCATCCTTTCTGAAATTTGGAGAAAACATTCCACAATTATCACATTTAGGTCTGCTCAATAACTTTTTGTAAAGCTCTTGTATAACTTCTTTTCTCTTTGATTGAACCGCTGACGTAACTACACCTCGGATGCTACTTCTACCTTCTTCTATAGCATCAGATATCTTCTGGGAAACAAATTTCTCACGACGTTCAATAAGTTCCTTCTTTGCCCTGGGATCTGCATTATTTGAGCTATTGTCCTCATCGTCTTCCGCCATCTCAGTAGAACCTCTAACTAAAAAGTTATCTATTTCAGCAGCTTCCAAAAGTAAACCATACTGAATCAACTTTAATTTACAGGTATAACGATGGACCTCTAAAGAGTTGTACCTGAAATGATGACAATAAAGACATGCTGAGCGTAAATAGATATAAAGTTGATTAAAAAATAGTGGATTGTAGACTGGAATAGGTAACTCTATATGCCCCTGATGTCCAGGACAAAACTTCTCGTCAAGCCCGCATGTTGAACATAAGTTTCTAAGGAAAGCACCTAATGCCAAATCATAAAGTCCACCGCTAATTGGGTGTCCCAAGTTATCAAACACTGTTGGATTGACTATCTGTTTAGCCGACAATTTTCTTATTTCATCGGCTGATAATATGCCAAAGTCCACAGATGTTATCTGTGAGCCAACTGGTTTAGAAATATCCATACTTTCACCTTTTCTTCTCGACTCTTGAAGAATGGATCTCTCCTATTGATTAACTGATTTTTCAGAATAGGCTCATCTGAAAAAAAAAAAAAATTGATTTTTCACTGGAAAGTTCATTAAGTCACGTGACAAAAAATGAGCATCGAGATGATGGTCTGCTCCATACTACTTAAGCTACAAGTCAGTATATTTAAACAATATAACATAGATTTTACTAAAACAATTAATGCAAACGATAATGTTAACGGTAATGTTAACGATAATGTTAATGAGAATGTACAATTACAAAAAGCAGGCAATTAACTCTTGAAAATTCGAGAAATATTAGGCTCGAAACAGTTATTAGATGGTCAATATATCTATTTTGAAAGATGGAGACCCTTTTTGATTATCTTTGCTCCGCCGCCAAAACCCTTTCCGACACCCTTACCTACACCTTTTCCAACGCCTTTACCCATATTTCCCACACTGCCAATGGCTCCACCGATATGTGAGCTTTCACCCTCTACATTGACAATCCAGGCTGGGTTGAAGGAAAGCTTGAAGTAAGCAGTACCACCAGAACTGTCGTCCTCGCAAATCAAAGGAACAGAAACTTCAATTTCATCGCCATTAACCGGAACATTTGACAACTTTATATTTCCTATTCCTAGTAAATCATCCTTTTCTGGACCCACATCCCAATCGTAACAGACTGCCTTTATTATTGAATCGTACTTGTTAGGAACTTCAACAGTTCCACTCTGGTTGAAACTAGGATCAAGAGATCTCTTGACTTTCTTAGTTTTCAAGAATGCATCCTTTTCAGAATTTAAGTACAACTTGAAGTATGGATCAGATTTACCGTTTCTATCAGCCAGAATCAAGTTTTCTGCACGAACAACAGTAACAGTTAAGTTACCAGAATTCTTAAATGAATCCTGGGGTGGGACGGCATGCTCATATATGATTGGAATCCAAGAGCACTGAAGCCTAAAAGTAGCCTCGCTTGCACCCGTCAAAGTAATAGAGCCTTCTTCGTTGAGAGACTTTTTTAATAAATCCTCCGTTGGCATGGTTAATTCAGCTAACACTTTTGCGACTCTATTGTCATCCTTGTTCTTTGTGAGTCTGAAACATATTTTGGAATCATTCAACTCTTTAATAATTGCATCACCAGTTGTGCCAATCTTCGCATGTCTGCTCTTCAACTTTTGAGTAACGTACTCACAATGGCCATGCGTATCTGTGAAGACTTGTAAATATACGTCCTCCTTTGGCAATTTTGCATCTATAAGTTCGAAAGCCAAGACACCGCTTTTATAATTAATAAGCTCCTCCAATGATAATTTTAATTTACGACTTCCAGCACTTTCTTCGTCATCATCATCATCATCATCATTATCCTTAACAGCTCCTTCAGCTTCTTTTTTCTTTGTGTTAGCCTCAGCGTTGTCTTTCTTCAGTTTGGCTTCTTCTGCGCTCATCTCAGCAGCTTTCTTCTTCTGTTCTTCTTTTCTGGCCTTATCTTCCTCTTCTTGTCTTATGTCTTCCAAAGTCATTACTGGCAATGTAGGATAGAAAGAAAGAGAGTAAGTTACTGTTCCTTTTGGTCCCTTTTTATGAATGAGCTTAGATTGTCTCTTTTCCGGATCTTCATATTCGATATAGAGACCCTTCTCGTTCTTACTAATTATATCACTCAATTTGACATCAAAAGAACCTAAAGTACGATCAGGAGAATGCGCCTCCACGTCCATAACTTCAACGGTCAATTTTTGATTAGGAGATGAGACACTAACATAATGAATCTCATTCCACGTAGGATTTAAGGTTGAATCCTTAGCCACAGTCCTGGCTCTTTGGAAACCATTGACCATGAGCCTAACATAAGGATCAACTTTTCCAACATGTTCTAAATTTCTTAAATCTTCAGCATTGTCAACACTGATCCTAACCACTCCAATGGGAGGAGCATATCCTCCAGCACCGCTCGCTCCAGCAAGAGCAACCGGCTTCCATGTTGCGGGAATCCTAACCTCACCACCTTTGGACAAGGGAAACCAATTCAGTTCGACTTGGGTAGCATCAATTAATTCGTTCAAAGTAGCATGCAATTGTCCCAAAACCTTATCATCCTTAGTTTTCACAACAATACGTACTTTAGATTTGATACGATCTCCAACAATCTTCTCGTAGCTTGAGGCCCAGCCTGGCGTCGCAGTACCTTTTTGAGTCGCAGTAGTGAGAACCTTTTCATTATTAAAATACAATTCAGCATAAGTAGATGGTGGCTTTTCGCCATCTTTCAAGTTTCTAGCTCCAGCGATTTCAATTCTTGCAATACCAGTATTCAAATCTGGTGGCGGTACAATAGCACCATCTGCTTGTTTCTCTGGCTCAATAGTAGGCATGAAGTGCAAACTAAAATTAAGTTCACCCACTGGCTTGTTATTTCTGATGAACGGAGCGCTAATATTAGTTTGCTTAGGATCATCGTGGAGAGCTTCCAAGTCAAATTGAATAGAGCCAACCTGTTTGTCCTTTCTATAATCATTATAATCAATAACAGCTATATTCAACGGCTCAGAAAGAGACTTAACAGTAATATACTTGGTTTCATTCCATACAGGCTGGCTAGTATTGCTTTTAACACCCGTCTTCTCTAGGACGTTCGATTGGAAACCGTAAGTCAAGTAAGGATCTAATGTGTTGCCGATTGTACTAAATGCCTTCAAACCTCTTGCAGAATGAGCAGTGATTGCTAACACACCAATCGACGAATCTAATCCATTTCCTGCAATCAACTGTTGAACATTGACTTGGAACGATAATGGTGTGAATACCATTGGGCCAGCATACTTCTTTACCATTTCATTAATAAACGGATATAAACCTGGAAAACCTAATACTTCCCAATTGAATACAGAATCTCCTAAAAGCCTGCAATTGAAATCGAATTGTGGTGGTTCCAATAATGTTACATTTGCAGTTTCAATATGAGGAAACGATGACATCATTCTCAATCTAATTCTTGCAAGACCTTTGAAAGAAACGTCCGAAATTGCAACTGGGATCGTAAACCCAAATAAATTAGCTTTAACGACGAGCTTTTGGTCAACATTATTTTTCAACTGTTTCGAATTAGAATCAGCCAATGAATTCGGAATGAAGGAAAAACCCCAGTCCATAACAACAACGTCATCGGCAGTACCATGCAAAGTCTTGACAGCGTCAATGCGAGGAGCCTTTGTTCCTGCTGTGAAACAATCGATCCATAAAGCCTTAATGAAAGCGGGAGCGGGCGAGCTTGCTAAAATGGGGTTGACTTGCTCACATACAATTTGAGAAATAGAAGGCTCCAAGTAAAACCAGAACTTTTCCAAAAAGTTGTTTAACCAGTTCATAGTTTCGTAGTCATTTTCAATCAGCTTGATAGAAAATTCTCTTTGAGCCTGCTCCCTCAAAGTGATTCTGTATTTTCGAACCGAAGAACGATATAATACCGAAAATATCAACATGATGAAAAACACAGGAGCAAGAGAAAACCTGAACCAACCAAATATCCATGATAAGAGCCCTCCTAAGATCAAGTAGCCTACATTGTGATACCAGTCACCGAAAGCTACTTGAGGAAGGTAGTTATCAAAGACAGAAGCCTTCGATAACAAGTCCGTGACTTCATCCTCCAAAGTCAATGCATCTTTTTCTTCCCAACCACCTACTTCCCTCCATCCTCTTAAAGATGGATCCACAGATTTTCTTGGTGGAGGCTTCGTCTTGACATCGCTGAGGTCCAAATTCTCGCTTGGAGTCCAGTCAATCGTAGAAGTGGAAACAGCATTGCTAATTGCTTTGTTTGCTTTTTCTGTTTCATCCTTGACAACTTCCTCGTCAATTGGAGGGTCCTGATCTACAGATAATTGTTCTGGCGGTGAAATTATTTCATTCGGCTGGTCTTGTTAGTATTCATTGCGTTGTCAATCTTTTACAATTGCACTTACGTTAGATGTCTTGGTGTTAGCTCCTTCCATTTTGAACTATTGCTTTAGCTGCTAACTTATCCAAACAATTATTTGAGCTGGTCCTAAAGCTACTTTGATATCAAATTACTGTTCAATTCTATTTTAGCTATCAGAAAGTACTACAAAAGCAACTCGGATTGCTATAGCCATACTAGTGGAAAATTTCATGTTTAACGAGCCCCCCGGTATTGGCACCATGTTGAAATTCACATCAATTGATGTGCGGCGCAATTGATTATATACAGGCAGGGAGATGCCATAACGATGAAGGTAACAGTGCCAGTTTCAATAGGGTATAAAAGGCCCAGCCTCTCAATGAAAGAATATAAGTGAAAGAAAGAGTATTCGATTAGTTTGTGATCAAGAAATTCAAAAAAATCTTTTCAGGGTGAAGCTAAATTGGTGCGTGAAGATGTTATGAAACTCTTAATCACAGGACGGGCCCTGGATCCTATTGTAGCGGATTTGGCTACGGAAAAGACCCAAGAATAAAGAAAATTCAGAAACTACAAGGAAAATACTAAAAAATGAGTATGAAAGCAGTAGTATTCCATGCTCCCTATGATATTAGAACAGAGGAGAAGCCAGTTCCAAAGATTGAAAACCCCACTGATGTTGTGTTGAAAGTAAAATACTCTGGATTATGTGGTACAGATTTGCACACTTACAGGGGACATATTCCTGGCCCTGTCAACCAAGCAATTGGACATGAATTTTTGGGAACAATCGTAGAAGTGGGAAGTGATGTTGAAAACTTCAGAAAGGGTGACGAAGTCTTAAGTACTTTTACTATTCAATGTGGGAAATGCTGGTACTGTAAGCATGGCTACTCTGGCCAATGTAAAGAGACCAATACCTTTGGTAAGTCGGGGTTACCAGGTGGGCAAGCGGAGTATGTGAGGGTTCCAAATGCCGATTCCACCCTAATCCGAAAGCCCCAGTCGCAAGATGACGTCGATGATTCAGTTTATGTTTTAATGGCTGATATTTTTATTACAGGATATTACGGGGTGAAGAAGATAATTAATCACTTAAAAAATGAGGCTGCTGTCGGCGTCCTGGCTGAGGAAAGAAAGGATGTGACAGTGCTACAAGTTGGCGTGGGACCAGTTGGGCTTTGTGCCTTGGAAGTTTTCAAATATTTCGGCTTCGAAAAAATAGTTTGCGTTGACAGTGTTCCATCACGTTTGGAAGAAGCAAAGAGAAGAGGCGCTTACCAGGTGATCAATTTTGAGACTGACAAAGATTCGCTTAATGCATTCATAAAAAGCGAAACAGGAAATATGGGTTTTGACGTCGTCTTAGAAGGTGTCGGTGCAGAGAGTGCCTTGAGAACTGCTTATGATTCTGTCAGAGGGAACGGCTTTATTTCTTCAATTGGAATGGCACACGGTCCTCTTCCATTTAATGGCCTCGAATGCTACATTAAGAATATCAATATATCTTTTGGTAGGTGTCATGCATGGTCACTATTTGCAGAAGCATTAAAGATCTTTGAAGAGTTGAAGAAGAATTTTGAAAGTTTCATAGACATGAAGATCAACATTAAGGATACCCCCAAAGCCTTCGAGTTATTTGATAAGCACAAAGTGAACAAAGTCGTCATTGATTTTACAAAATGATCTTCATTATTATTACATTTCTAGCTTCACATAGAGATATGGCATATAAAAGAATGATAAAATAAGTTCATTTCATTAGTAATGTTGTAGTATTATTCTAATATTTACTTTACAAATCAAAACTAATTAGTGCTTTAAGCATACTTTAGGAGTAGAGACAACACTTTCATAGACCAAAAGAACACCCAACAAAATCGTCACAATTCCCATCATTAAAGTGGAGTTCATTTCAGCGAAGCTAAGACATAAGATTATTATTCCAATTGGTACTCTCCAAAATATTCTCCAAAATCTTGGAAGGATGTGAATGTCTTTTGAATCCTTGCTGTCGTCCAATAATCCTAGTACAAACATTGAAAGAAGGGATACGCAAATACCACCGGTGAAAAAAAAAGAAAGAGCATACATATTAGGATCTTCTTCTTCCTCCCTTCTCTCAATCAACTGATCATTCAGGAACTTCTTTAAAGAAGTTATATCAGACGCCGTAATGTCACCACCTGCATCAGCAGCTAGAACCAAAGATGCTATTAATGGAAGATGACAAAATATCCAGAGATAAGCAGACCAGCCACTTCTTCTAAGTGCATGCGTAGCCTTTTTAGTCGTAGAGCCATAGTTATAAATCCAAAACAAAACATAAGCAATTGTTAAAAGAAAAATACCCCTTCCGAATTTATCAGAGAATCCTGCGCCCAACGGACTCGATGCAACCACCTTATACAAGAACTCACCTAGAGCAATCGTTACGAAAGCACTAAAACGCTCAACTTCATGTTCAATATTCAACGCAGTGGACATATTCAACCGTAAAACTTTTTTGGTTATAGGATGATAAGCGATTATGAAGAAAACTTGTTCCAAAAACAAGATTCCAAATGACAAGCCAACTTTCGCTCTTGTTCCAATAAAGATTACCGGAATCCATAAAGAACTAGTAATTAATATAAGGACAGCATATAATCTTTGCTGAACACGATGTTCTGGAATAAAAATGGAATAAACCAAAAGACTGATGGACAACGAGACTCGGCAAAGAATATAAGGTACAACAGTAAGTGCCGCTTCTTTTGGACCATCTAGGATTTTGGAATGACTATTAGCGAATAAAGTAAGCAAACTTAAGATCCACAAGATGTAAACCTTTTGAGACAAGTCTTCGTTATAGTAATAGTTAGTGAAATCCTTTATATCAGCCCAAACAGTCCAAGCAGGAATGAAAAAAAGCACATACTTCAAAAGAGCAGCACCACTAGCATGTTCTGAAGCATCTCCAGCAAGGTTAGCAATAATTCCAACATACATCAAATCCAAAAATAATTCTGTTTTACTAGATGCCCTCTCCCCCTTTGTTCTGTACAATACTCCATCTTTGAAGTAGTTCAAAGCATGAGGTTTGATAAACCACGTAGCATCCTTCGGTTTCCTTATATACTGGAAGTTGATATCACCGTACTTCCGTACGAACTCATCTTCATCTTCTGAATCTGTCAATGCAACATGTTCTTCTTCCAAAGAAGGACGTTCCCTTGCAGGACCTTCTTCGAAGACGTATCTAACAACGTCTCTAATCTCATCTTCAAGCCCTTCGCTAGTCCGCTGAACATGGAAACTTTGATCTGAAACTGATTTCGCCGATGACATACTATAACTGAGTCCGCTTACCCTTCTTTCTCCAAGTTAAGAGTGCTTAAGTACAATAGTTGAATATATTTCTTATTAGAACGTTTTCTCATGCATCTGAAACGACAAAGTCCGAGCTACCGGAAATGGAGTTTGGAGTGAATAGTAATCCACACTTTGTGAACCGTCTCTAATGATCCCTAAGGTTACAGTCATTTAACACCCTTCATGGTACCCAGAAATATAATGAAAAATATCAGATTAGATGATTTGTAACGTCAAAGGAGAGGTTGTGACATATTGTGCAGTCAATGAAGAATGTAGGAGGAACAAAGAACAGTTTACATCTGGCTTATTGAAGGCTCAAGAGTAGAAGATAAAGGTGGATATAGGATTAAAGTCAAGTGGCTTCATCTCATAGAACAAAACTGGGGAATTAGCTCATCGTATTATCTTATCTCGTCCCTGTTTCTTCGATTGCGGGATTGCATGTTTCAGCCGTGCAGGGAAAGACCCACGTATTAGACTTTGCTGAAAGCGATAGCTAAGAGTATAATTAAAAAGAGAATGTAACATGTGTCCTAGGGACAATCTACTATCTCTCTTGTAAGAATTATTGAAACATATTCACTCTAGGTTCCAAGGAGGTATCATTAGACTCCCTCGACATCGTATTTTTTGGGAAAAAATTGAGCTTTATGGAACCATAAAGCCCCCCAAAATGTATCCTGATAACCCAGAGCGAGTTTATGATCATCTTTTAAGCTGTAGCTGAAGGTTTTCAGTCCATTTTGTAGTTGGTGCAATAGGTCGTATTACATAAGCATAAGTTTTTAAAGGATGCTCACCAATAAAACTGGTGATATTAGCACTACGCTTGAGCAAATCTGATCCTCCTAATATCCTGAAAGAGACACTTGATATAGATCGTGATGAGCAATCCTTGGGCTAAAAGAGATGCGTGGAGATATGAAGGGCAATTCTCCCGTTTTAACAGATTTAAATCCATGTTCCCAGGATTTGGCATAGCAGTTGGAGCATTTACTTTATATGTCGCTTACGAAAAATTGGTCTTAAAAGACAAGCATCATGAAGAGCACCATTAGTGGTATATGACTAGGGTATCGGTCTTAATCAGCATCTGAAAATATATTCAGGGACTTCTAAATGGGAGCATGAATTATGTGTTGACTCTGATTGATTCTTTGTTGAAAGCTTCGATAGTCTAACATGTGGATAAAAGGCATTTAGACGTAATTTACATAAAGAATACATTTTACCGGCTTGAATAGTCTTTTGACATTGTAAATTATATACAGATTATTTAGCTTATGAAGATCAGTTATACTATATTTATTGTTTGGAATTTTCAACTTCTGGATCCTGTGGGACGTCTGAAATATCAAATGTGGTCTCCCACAATGATTGAGTACTGTCAGAGACATCGTCAGAACCCATAGAGGCTCTAGCAGCTCTACCATCTCTATTAGCATGCTTGATTCTTGTTTTTTCTCCTGCAGTCTTAGTCCACGCGTCAATGTGCTTTTGTTCTTGTTTAAGACCCCAATCCATATAAGTGGATGGATAAATGGCTCCATACATAGTCGATTCTTCCCTTGCGACTGCACTGCCAATCTCTTCCTCCATTCTGTGCCTATAAAACTCGAATCTAGCGAAATCATAAGCTTCGAAAAGACTCATATCCTTTCCGCTAACCTTTGAGTCCTTAAGAAGCCATAACGTTCTTTGTACTACAGACTCTCCATCCAACGGCTTATAAAACTGTAACATGTGAGACCAATCACATTTACTGTATTCCAGAGCATCATTCTCTATCAATGTCTTGGGCCTTGAAAACTCCCAAGGATGCTGGTGGTAGAAAACATCTCTAAGTTGATCTTCTAAAAATTGTAACTTTGGTACTCTAGAAACACTATTATTTTTCTGCTTTTTGTCATATCTATCCGCTCTTGTCTTATACGTTCCATTATGTGATATTTTTTCAAATAATGATGAACTTGGATCTTCCTTCTGTGCTGAAGTTTCAAAAAGTTTAGGCTTCTTTGTCAAATCTGTCAGAGGAGGATGCGAGCCTACCACATCAAACCAAGCGGGTTTTTCCCGTAAAACTCCAGCCTTTAGGTAATGCGACGTCCTTTCTAAGACAGCGGCGGCCTTAGTTTGTATCTTCATGCTATTGTAATGATAATATGCGATCTTTTGGACTTTCTTGTTGTATAGTTCTAATTAAGTAGTACACTTCAATATTGAAAAATTTTTGCTTATATAATCGAGACATGAAAATCCCATATATTGTTAAGACCTTAGATAAAAAAAAAAGAGGGCAGTGGTAAAATGATATTAGAATCATGAGACGATGGTTTACTACTTCTTCGTTGAAGAATTCTAATACTTTCGAGCTGGTGGTATCTAGACTATGTGTAAAAATAGATGAGATACAAAAAGGTAATCCGAAGTATTTAATTACTGCAACTGATTCATTAATTGTTAAGCATCAAGAAACGCTTGTTGGCCATTTTAACATAGACGCTACTTTAAATGACACTAAAAAGGCACAATGCATTTGGAACCATCTTGTTAGCTATAACGATATGGATTTGGAAGTACAGAAGCTTAGGGAAAAAATATTGAAAGAAAGAGAAGCAGCTCCGCCAGACAACTTGTACCACAACTTCCTCAAGGCGCTATATCCATTGCGGAGTAAATCGGCACTGCAATTGAGGGCAGCTCATAAAAATTACGACCTTTTTGAGAACGATGTGAAATACTCCTTGGTCAACCACAAGTTGTTATATAAAAGATACTGCGAATTGCAGAACCCATATCATTTTAACATCAAACCAGACCATCTAGAAGACTTCTTGGAACGTTTCTTGAAGAAAAGAGACTTTGTCAAGCCCAGTGCGCTTTCATTAATGAGCAAAATGGCACCGAAGACGACTGTAACTTCATTCAACCAAATGTTAAATATTAGATCCGATTATGTTAAGATGTGCAGTAAAATTTTTGAGGATATGCGTCGCTTTGGCTTACCGTTGACGCCAACTGAGCAGCGGAAGCTAATTTTCTTCAGTTTTTTCAAAGACAGGAACGAAATAGTAAAGAAAACAAAATTGGCGATGGAACAGCTAAGTGACGCTGATGGCAACCATATTAAACTTTTAGGGTATAGCAGGTTCAATTTTGAAGCTTACAATCTGATCATTGGTCTGTTTGATTCAAGGGCTTTAGACATAAACATGTTTAATACACTTCTATTGCATTCAATTAGTCATGAGCAGTGGCAGGTATTTGTCGACATTATAGAGAAAATTGGCCTCGACCACATAATAAATGATGGCCCACTGAACGAGAAAAGCTTAGCTAATGGGCGCACATATGAAATTCTAATAGATTTGTTCTCTTCTGAAAAGAATATGGAGAGCTTAAAGATTTCAAAAGTTTTTGCATTAACAAGGATAATCGATAGTTTCGTGAATTCGGCTGTGCCAATCGAAATTGGCTTAATAAATAAGATTGCTAGTGCTTTAATAAGCTATGGACGTATTGAACTTACTGAGCATTTGTATTCCAAAATATTTTCGAACCCGGTTGACCCTGAAGTGAATGAGGTACTTACTTATAAAGGCTTGACCGTAGAGGATAAGGCTATTTATAAAAAATACACTAGAGCATATGAAAAGTTGAAAAACATAATAAATGAATGTGAAAGTTATAAGTTGCTTCCAAATGAAGAAACGTTTACAATATTAATATCATTCTACTGCTCCGGTCATTCTGATGAGAAATCATTTAGAAAAATTTGTAATTTGATATACATCATGGAAGAAAAATATGATCTTCCCATCACTACTAGAATATTCAAAATTATATTTGATAAATTTATACAAGCCAGATATAGTGGGTCTTCTAACATATGGTCCTTGGATGGTTTAATCTCGATTACTGCCAAATTGGTTGAATGCCATGAGAAGTTGGACAATATAAGTTGTGAAGTCCAATTCACCGATCAATTGAATAATCTAGAATTGTCAGAACCATGGAAAGACTTCTTGCAAGCATTCTTGAAGGAACGAAGAGCATCAAATGTTCCAATACACAAAGGCAACTTTTTAAAATTACATGACGATTTGGTGAATAAAGTGTTTTTAGCCTTTGTTAATGTAGCAAAGCAAGAGCCGGATATTGACGAAGAAGATAGGTTCAAGTTGTTGCAATCGATGCAAAAGCTATACTCAGACTTATTACACCAATTGCAAGATATCAGAGGCATTAATGCAAGATTTTATGATAATGAACCAAACTTAAAGAATATTTCTCAAATTGATGAGGTCAATTACGTTAAAAAGCTCTTTTTGCTCGATATAATAGATGTTTCATTGGAAAATTAGCTATATAATATATACTTATAGCATACTTTAGCATTATTCCCTGTAAATATAAGTCATCAAGATGCTAAACCATGGCTTCTTTATCGCCTCCGAGATGTTGGTCTTTGTAAAATTCCCTTTTTTGTTCTTCAGCACTTTGAGATATCTCTTTATTTATGAGCTCATCAAGATCGTAATCATATTTATTGGGATCAGCATCAAGATCCAATTTCTCTTTATTTCTTCTTCTTAAATTCGAATCTTCAGTTTGCAACCTGATTCTAACAGGAAGATCATCTGCAGTCACCTGGAATTTTTCATTGAAGTTATGATGATTTTCTGATTCTTTCTCAAAATCCTTTCTGAATTGCTCATCTGGGGGAATATATCCGTAGGACTCTTGAATGTTGTCCTGTGGCCGTGATGTCTTCACCTGTTGCTTCTTCTCTCGTTTCTTTTCAACTTCAAGTTTTGTCAATCCCGAAGCATAGGGCAAATACAATGTGACAACAACGAATATGATAATGATAAACATAATTAAGAAAAACATATTGTATTATCTTTCTTTTAAATTTATGGTTTCGAAATGGAGTAATATCTTGATAGTTGAGGTTAGAAAAAAAGAATTTTGATGTTGGTTCTCACAAATAAAATACACGACAAACCATTCGAGAAACACACCACAGTTCAACTAGACCCACAAAGCAATTCAAACAGCCAAAGGACTCCAAAGCACAAAAAACTGAACAGTTCAAAGTATTGAAGACAAAGAAAGAAATGCTAGTAAGAGGGTTGAGATTGTCAGCAAGAGTGACCAAGGGACCGTTCAGGATTCGAACTGCCAATAGCTATGCTTTCACGAAAATACCGACTCCATATGGCAGACAAAGCCCTAGTAGATTTTGCCAAAGAACTTATTCCACAATCAGTACTGAAGGTGAAGAAATATCTGATAAAATAGACGATATCAGCGCATTTGAATACGACAAGATTGCAAACGAATATTTGGAAACAATCGGAGACGAGCTAGAAGATTTGTCAGCGGACTATCCGCAAGTAGACTGTGAGCTCTCTCATGGCGTGATGACATTGGTTTTGCCGCCATACGGAACATATGTGATCAATAAGCAACCACCCAATAAGCAGATCTGGCTCAGCAGTCCGCTTAGTGGCCCCAACAGGTACGATTTGATTGGAGGCAAATGGATCACTCTACGCGATAACTCGTCTTTGACGGACTTGTTAGAGTCTGAAATATCCCTGGCGCTTGAGAATGAGTTCAAGTTCGAACAAGTGGAAAACTAATGGTGGAATGCAACAATAAATTAATGAAGACAATGTTTCGGGGACTCAAAGGACTGAAGGGTACTTCTGAACCCCAAGGCCTTTAGATTTCTTCCATAAGAACCTTATTTTAAAAACTTTACAACCATACCTATCCCTTGATTATATAGTGACGCTTGAAGAATATTGCATTTAATACCACAATCCTCTCTTGGCCATATGCTCTTTTGGCGGATGATGTTCTTGAGTTGCTGATAATACTTATTGAACTTCTGAGTGCTGCCTACACTGTATTTATATCCGCTTCCTACTATCTAATATTATTTAACTATCATTGGATCACCAGTCAAGTGCTGCCATATAACGCGATCAAAATCTATATATTGAGTATATTTCAAAAGTGCAGCAAATATCAAATACTGATGATATTCACATTAAATGAAAGGCATAGCAAGGCATAGACTGTTCCTTTAGGTTAAATACAAAGCAAAAGGTCTTAATAAACTAAGGTATTGGAAGTTTCTCGTCTTGAGGAACCTCTCGTATTTTAGGGAATCAATATGGTACCCAATATCAGGTTAAGGGGACCTAAGTTGGGGAACGAAAGAGTTACAATATCGTCGGAATGCCTTTTGCAAAATCAAAATTCAAAGGGCCATAAGCTCAATATAACGATAAAACTAGAACCAGAAGTGTTGAAAGGGTTGGATAGCGACTATTCATGGTTAGGTAAGAAAGAGAAGCCATCCCAAGAACGAAATTATGGAAATGAAGAAAAAGACGAGATAGAAGACCTGGATAGTGATCTTTCCTCTCTTGACTATGAGCTTAACCAGGCATTAATGTCCGAGATAGATTCTGGAGGCTCAACAATCATCAGTTCTGAGAAAGCTACATTATTGCCATCAAAAGAAAGTTCAGTGGAGCAGGTCAAGACGAAGAAGATACCGAAGAAGGTTAACAAGGTTGGCACAGATGCATCGAAGCCTTCTGCACAATATATATATAAAACAATCCCTTCAAATATCAAGCCCATATTGGTTGGGGAGTTAGGGGACTTAGACAAGGATGAAGAAAATGATCTTGGATTGGTAGAGAAATTCATCTTTAGTATAAAAGACCCTCTTAGTGCATGTAAAATAACCTTGCCTGTGAAATCGATATACTGTGTCCATTTTCAATGTTTTGATTATGAGGCATTTTGCATTTTTAATAAAATTCCTGCTGGCATTAAAATGTTTACCAAGAAAGACCTAGCAAGAAAGAGCTTTGAAAAATTAGCTTACTATGAGAAGAAACCGATCCATTCGCCGCTTCGTATAGTAATACCTGAAAGTGGGAGAAAACCGAAAGACTCTTACAAAGCTTCTTCTAAAATCCCATCTTACAAATGCCCCATATGTGACGTCGAGTTTCAGCTACTGGATCTATGTATCAGTCAGTCATTCAATTATTTTGTTAAAAGTACTTCAAAGGAAACGGAAAAAATTGAAATAGTCGACATGCTGAAATACAGAATCATAGAGGATAGAGGTAGTGCTAGCGTCGAACGACAGACTGGTGATAATATAATTGTAATTTCTGATATTGAAGACACTGATGATGATGATGAGGATGAAAATAACGCGACTCTCATAGATAGTGCTGATAACATTTTTAATGATGGGCTAGACGAAGAAATGATTCGTTTAAGTAATGGCGAACTTCCTTATCAAAAATCTAAAGGAAGTGGAAAGTGGGATGATCCAATAACTTTGGATTGAACAATGCATTCTCTGTAATATAGTAACTACGTATAATAATATATAATAGACAAAACCTTTTTTACTGCTAAGAACCTATATAGCCATAAAATTTTAATATGCTGGAGCAGCACGAACCCTTTCGATATATTGCTCAATTGTCAAAGGATCATATTTAACACCTAACCCTTTTGCAACCTTAGCTCCAAGCTCTTTATCGATCAATCCCCACAATAATGGCACCTTTTCTTTGACTTCATTTACGCTAATTGTTGATGCATGTCCAACAACTGCTTCAACAAATTCAGCTTTCTGATCATCATTATAAACCTTTTGATACAATGCTCTAGGCTGTTCGACATCAAGCTCACTGAAACCGGAAATGTAATCGTAAGACTTGAGCCAAATCTTCTCTTCATGAGCCTTTTTGCTGCGCTCTTTCTGGAGTATCTCAAACTTATCCTCTGATTCTTTGGGAACAACTCCTAAGAATTTACTATCCACTACAGGAGGTAAACCATTCTTGTAGTCCTTTGGATTCTCAGAAGTTGCATTGATGGGAGAGAGAGAGCTGATATAATTTGGCCTCACTCCCTGGTTTTCATACGCAGCAAATCCGTCTCTTTGGAAGTTGCCGGCCATGAAAGGACATCCTGAGCCCCTTTCAAAGGTCAATGGCCTATTCACAGGCAACTGTTGATAATTGACACCTAATCTATGACGATGAGTATCAGAATATGAGAAAAGCCTGGATTGTAAAACTGGATCGTTGGAAGGCTCAATTCCTGGTACCAAGTGTGATGGAGAGAAAGCTACTTGCTCAATCTCCGAGAAGTAATTAACAGGGTTCTGATCCAAGACAATTTTACCAAACTTCCTTAATGGGAACTCTTTATGTGGCCAAATTTTTGTTAAATCATTAATAGAATAACGGAACTCTTCTGCCTGCTTTGGAGTCATAGTTTGGATATAACAAGTATAACTTGGCTTCTCACCCTTTGCAATTCTCTCATACAAATCTTTAATGTTGTGATCAGGAGAAGAACCAGCCAATTGTCCCGATTCCGCATTAGAAACAGTCTCAAAACCACCGTCAGCTAAGACATGAATTTGTACGTAGGTAATCTCTTCCTTGTCGTTTACAAGCTTGAAAGTATGTCCCGAATACCCATTCATACGTGCCCAACTTTTTGGAACCCCTCTTCTACCAAACATGTACGTGATTTGATGCAAACATTCTGGGTTCTGAGTATAATAATCCCATGTATGCGTAGAATCAGATAACTGATTCAAGTGAGTAGAAGGATCTCTCTTCTGAGTGTGGATGAATTTAGGAAACTTGAGAGGATCTCTAATGAAAAAAACTGGTGTGTTGTTAAATACCCAATCCATGTTACCGATATCAGTTTTCAACTTGATAGAAAATCCTCTTGGATCTCTGATGGTATCAGCAGATGCCCTTTCACCACCCACGGTAGAGAATCTCGCAGTAACTGGGCATTTGTATCCAGGACTTTGAAACGGTCTTGCATAGGAAAGGTCTGATAAGGAATCGGTCAATTCGAAGTATCCATGAGCTCCCCCTCCTTTGGCGTGGACAACTCTCTCAGGAATACGTTCTGCATCGAAGTGAGCAATGTCATCTAACAAGTTGAAGTCTTGTAACAACAATGGACCTCCTGGACCCGCTGTCTGTGCTGAGTATGGATGTTTATTATACGGAACTCCATTAGAAGTAGTATAGACAGCTTGATCTTTCTCTGTAATTTCACCTATCATTTTGAATGTTCTTTAAGGTGTTTTAGCAGACCTCTAACCGAATTCATAACTCAGGTTCCCTCTTTCTTTTTATATACTCCTGTCATGCATGTTCCCTCCTTCTTAAGACAAGTAGCAATCAAAACTTTTACTAGTTGCTGACTATTATCTCACTTCGTGGCGCCCAGTCGGGAGACTTGCATCCAAAAAAAAGTATCTGGATTCTCTTTTGATTACACATACAGAACTATATACACTACTGGCTATCTGTCAAAAGCCCATAGCAACTATTACTAGCAATTAATGCGAAAAATAACACGCTAACGGTAATTCTCGTTAGTAACGTCAGTAGATTCCAGAGCTATCTGAAGAATAAATAGTGATACCTAGGCCCTTCTATACTTACTCTTTAACGACACAATTTGTTCGAATAGCATGTCGAGCCGATTAGTCTTGGGCCCCGAGATGCCTAATTCTATCGCAGCCAATGGCAGCGTGTCCATTTGAAAGATCAACAAGTCCCCACAGTGGCTAAAGTAAATTAAAATGGGCCCACATAGACACCATCCTTGACACTGAAGCTCCCCTCGCAAATGGGATCTATAGTCATCGTCATTCTCACCATCCTAGACACCTTCAGCTTGAAAGAGCAACGGCGCAAAAACACGTAAAAGAGGAACGCATTCCATCACGTGATAATTAATAATTTATGTGCAGGACAAAAGTATTTTTTTGATGGCCACGAGATAATCCAACTTTGAAGAAAGGACAATACGATTAAGTGATTGGCAACAAAGAAGAGAATTTATCTTCATAAGAAACAAGCGCTGTAATTGACTAGTTTTTCAAAAGTCTTAAGTAAGTATATCAGTGATAATGTGGCTAGTGTTCAACACCGAATGTGCCAGAAACAAAGTTGGGGGTTAAAAGTTGCTTGCAGGTTTATCAACAAAGCGACAAATGGCGTATTTATGAAGAGCAAGCTCCTATGAATGACTTACTAACAAATGAAGCATATCTATGTCTACGAGCCAACTCAGAGCACGAAGTAACCATGCCGTTCCATTAGCAACCGGTAACTCTGCATTCAGAGTATTATTTATATTATTTACCCAATGTACTAAACTTATTCATGCATTGCCGTTGGTAAATAAGTCAGGAAAAACCCACTATAGTGGGCATAAGATTGTCCATGCGACTGATAAAATGACTCCTGAAGCTTTTTATTTTAATTTATTTGTATCTATGTCTCTAGTGTTGGCAGGTGGTTGTTTCGCAGGTCTTACACTAGGACTTATGGGTCAGGATGAAGTTTATTTAAAAGTAATGGCCAGTAGTGGTGATAAAAAGGAACGAAAATATGCAAATAAAGTATTAAATTTAATAAGCAGAGGTAAGCATTGGGTCTTGGTTACATTATTATTGTCAAATGTGATCACAAACGAAACATTACCTATTGTGTTAGATAGATGTTTGGGAGGAGGATGGCCGGCTGTTGTGACTTCAACTGCCGCTATTGTTATTTTTGGCGAGATTATTCCTCAGTCAATCTGTGTGAGATATGGGTTGCAAGTTGGGTCTATGTTTGCACCATTTGTTTTGGTACTTATGTATGCGTTGTATCCAGTTGCATACCCAATTTCTCTTCTTTTAGATCATATTTTGGGGGAAGATCATGGTACAGTGTACAAAAAGTCTGGATTGAAAACATTGGTTACATTGCATAAAACTATGGGTGTGGAAAGGCTCAACCAAGACGAAGTCACAATCATTAGTGCCGTTTTAGATTTGAAAGAAAAGCCCGTAAGTCATATAATGACACCAATGGACAGAGTATATACAATGAGTGCAGATGCTATCTTGGATGAGAAGACGGTTGAAGAAATTTTTAACGCCGGATTTTCTAGAATACCCATACACTTACCGAAAGAACCTCTCAATTTCATCGGAATGCTCTTAGTAAGGGTTTTAATAAGCTACGACCCTGAAGATGCTTTACCAGTTGCTTCGTTTCCTTTAGCCACGTTACCTGAAACAGGTACTGATACATCATGCTTGAATATTTTGAACTATTTCCAAGAAGGAAAATCTCATATGGTGGTTGTAAGTGAACACCCTGGCGAGCCTACAGGTGCTCTTGGGGTTTTGACATTGGAAGATGTGATAGAAGAATTAATTGGCGAAGAAATTGTGGATGAATCGGATGTTTATATTGATATAAACAAGAACATTAAAAGACTCACACCTGGTCCTTTGTCAAAGAGGAATTTAACTTCATACTTGCATAACCTATATTCATTGAACAACTCCAAAAGAAACTCTATTGACGAAAATGGATCGTTAACTCCTTTGAAGGATTCTTTTTCAGAGAGAGCCATGTCGCCGACGAAGAACACCAATGCCCATTCGCCGGTCTTGGGACCAGCAGATGTTCCCTTGAATTGGAAACCTAAGAATCCAGCAGCGAACCCTCTTGATGTTAATAAATCTTATGTTACTATAAAGAGGCCAAATATAGATACAGTTAAAAATGCCGTCTTGCCAGGGCCCGACAGGTCTTTCCCTGGTAAAAGTAAGTCGTATGGTGCAATTCATGTTTCAGAGGAGGGCGCACTTAGAGAGGCAAAAAGCAGACAGTCTAACGATGGACAGAATGGTGACCGCCAGAAGTTCTTGCTCCCTGAGGAGAGAGAAACAGACGTGTCAGAGATTGTTCCTGGAAGTCGACATGACAGTGCTTCAGAAGAGGACAGTCACCATCTGCATCAACAGAATAACAACAACCTAATCAGTCTTGAGAACGACAAGCCAGAGCAACATGAACGATCTTATAAAACTGGAGGTATCATTGAATCTATCATTAACGTTCAAGGTGTACATAAGACAATTATTGAGAACGTTAGTGACGATGAAAGTGACTATCATCCAAAAGTTAGCCCTACCGGCTCTAAGAGGAGTGAAACTGAACAGTTTACCATAGAAGATAACGAAGAAGGAAAGGGTTTACTATCTGAACAAAGTAATAAACATGGCTCAAGTTCCTTGACTTTAGGTAGCTCACATTCCCAAGATAGCAGAGCTGCTAAAAAATTCAGTGTCTGGGATAAGTTTATGAATGGTTCAAGTCACGATTAATCATATATTTCATTTCTGAAATCTTCACTTTTTAGTTCTATTTGACATTCCATGCTATGAAAGCGACTATTTAGTAAAATATTTATTAGCTTCTTTTCAATAGATTGTAAGTACGAATTGATAAGTCCGGCTCTTCCTTTAAGGATTTCCGTGATAACCACGTGATTATAAAAGGCTTTGTTGGTGATCTTGGAAGTGGGAGTTAGTCAGACGGCCCATAACAATAAACTAATGTCAATTATTTTGTCAGTAATCAAAATAACGTTGTGATTATATTGGGGATTATTCGGATGATTCCTTATCAGCAGTATCATAATAGGAATTGAAAATTACTATGCTGAGCGACGAGTTAGCAAGCCATCAAAAGAAGGGTTCGAAACAACGGTTAAAAGACTTATTTTTGAGCTCTTCTCATAAGGATGTCTCGCGTAGCTCAACCAATAGTACGGGAAGTACTGAAAATCCTTCTAATTTCTCCAACCATCGCAGTTTTTTGAAAACCCGAGGGGGCCATTCGGGTGCCTCTCTATCTAGTTTGAGCACTCAAAGCTCTGGGGGGAGGAAAAGTGACCATGATGGGTCAGCTGAACACTATGCCAATTCCTCTTATACCGCAAGTAATATTACGTCTTCACCTGTGGTGAGTCACACGAGTGGGCGCTCAGACGACAATGTTGAATTGAATTCGAGTGTCCAGGAGACTGATTCAGATTCTAAGAACAAATCAAAAGATAGCTTGTCAACAGCAGAATATTCACAATATTCAAGTGATAAGAAACAAGAAGATGTATCCGGTAGTAAGGAAAAACTGGGAAATCGACACCATCACAGTCATTTGTCATTGAAGCGATTTCTCAAGAAGATCAAACATAAAGATGTACATTCACCCATAAAACCAAAGAATCACTCTATTTTACCACTGCATTCATCTTCGGATGTATTTCAGAAGTATGGCCCAGTTGGAAAGTTGTTGGGATCGGGGGCAAGTGGTTCCGTAAATTTGGTTACTTTGAAAGGTGATCCAACGAAAATATTTGCTATTAAGAAGTTCAGATCTAAGTTACCCAATGAATCTGAAAGAGACTATAAGACAAAAGTAACTAATGAATATAAAATTGGCGAATATTTAAAACATCAAAATCTTATTCACACTTATGAGTTAATAAAAGAAGGTTATGGAAAGCCCTTCTCAGAACATGAATACTATATAATAATGGAATATTGTCCTTATGATTTTTTCAATTTAGTCATGTCGGGGCTAATGGATCAGAATGAAATTAACTGTTATTTCAAACAAATTATTAATGGCGTTGCATTTTTGCATCAAAATGGGTTAGCTCATAGAGATTTGAAGCTCGATAATTGCGTGGTGGATTCTAACGGTATTTTAAAGCTAATAGATTTTGGTTCCGCGGTACAATATATGAAAGACTTGACTGAAAATACAAGAAAGGAAGACATTATAGATGACAAGCATAGATTGGTTAGAGCAAAAGGGATTGTGGGCTCCGACCCTTATTTGGCATATGAGGTCTTTCAACTGACAAACTTTGGATATGATCCTCGATTAGTTGATGTCTGGTCAATTGCGATAATATATTGTTGTATGGTCCTAAGAAGATTTCCATGGAAAATACCCAAGGCTAGCGATCCTTCTTTCAAATCATTTGCGGAATTACCAGACCCGAAATCTGAAAATGAACTGAAGCCAGCGAATAAGGGAGCAAACGATTTGAAGACAGGGGTCCCAAATGGCGATACACACCACGGCTCAACCAAGAGAAATGGCTCTCGACCAAATAGGGGTCCAGATAGACTTCTCTATCTTCTCCCTGAAGAATCTCGTTCTATGATCAAAAGCATGCTAACTTTGGACCCCAATTCAAGGCCATTTGCACCAGAACTATTGAAATATGACTTTTACAACTCAATTGATTACTGCCACTACGACAATCATGATATCAATAATAGAGAGTGCTTTAAGGCTACAAATCACCAACATCATTTAATCACGGAAGAAGAGTTACAGAAAATCAACGCCGAGAAAGAGCGTACCAAGAAACTTAAACAAGCCGGTGTTGCTTAGGATTATATAACTGTACTTCGCTCTGTAGCTGAAGCGAAGTAAGACCATAATTTATCTTAAGGGCTTGGGAGCTTGAGGACTCGATGACTATATACAGGAATTATATATAATGTATTGATAGATAAAACAAACTGTATATCAACGTAGCGTCTAAAAGGCATCATTACTAAATGAATCTGCCCTTGGTTTTAAGCAGACTAAAATCATAAAAGCCATAAATGGGAGAAGAGGGACCACATCTACCGGAATGGGTGATAATTTTATCTGGCTACTCATCAGTCATATCAACATTAATTATATTTGTTTGTATATTCTTGCATTTAATAAATTACAGAAAGCCGTTTGAGCAACGGTTGATGATACGAATTCAAATGATAGTTCCATTATTTGCAGTTTCTTGTTTTAGTATGTTGTTGGACCAAAAGTCATACGTCAACAGGTATTTACTAGAACCAACTCGAGAGGTGTATGAAGCGTTTGTGATCTACACATTCTTTTCTTTGCTAACAGATATGCTTGGTGGAGAGCGAAATATCATCATCACAACCAGTGGAAGAGAACCCGTTTCACATCCTGGTATCTTGAGATATATTCTTCCCGATTTAGACATTTCAGACCCCCACACATTTCTTGGAATAAAAAGAGGAATCTTACAGTATGTTTGGTTAAAACCTTTCATATGCTTTGGAACCATTTTGGCTGATGTGTTGGGGTTGTACGACTCGAACAAGATGGGAGCCTCATCCATTTACTTATGGCTTACTATCATATATAACTTCAGCGTGACTATGTCACTTTATTGTTTAGCAATCTTCTGGAAGATCTTATGGAACGATTTGAAGCCATTCAAGCCCGTGAGTAAATTCCTTTGTGTGAAGCTCATTATTTTTGCTTCGTACTGGCAGGGAATTCTCTTGGCCATATTGAATGCGTTAGGGGTTCTCCCTGGCTCAGCTGTTAAGCAGGAACCTAATGTGAATATAGGAATATCTATTCAGAATGCATTACTCTGCTTTGAACTAATTGGTTTTGCCGTCGGGCATTGGCATGCATTTTCTTATCGCCCCTTTACGATATCTAACATACCTTATAGTCGTTTCAAAACTTACTATGCTATCAAAGATGTATTGGGAATTAGAGATTTGGTATACGACTTCAGAGTAACATACAACGGTGATTACTATAAAAATTATAAGAAGTTTGACTCAGTAGAGGCTATGATAACTCACCCAGATTCGAAGGGAAGAATGAGTAGAATAAAACAAGGGCTCCGATACCATAGTGATGGGAAACAAAAGCATTGGTTACCTAATCAAACTTCAGGTGCATCTAATGCCAGCATAACAAGTACTTCAGAACTAAATGCGGTGAATAGCCAATCACTTACTACTCAACCTACTACAGAATACGCCAAATCAATTAACTCAAATGGAACATCGACTAGGGGTCTTTTCTCATCATCTCCTAAATATATTGCATCATTTCCAGAGTCTCCTGTACCATCTATTGATATTGATAACGAAGAAGCATGCCCTTCTATTACAGATATTTTAAATACGGATACCATAAATTACGATAAGGAAATGTTGGATGAAGATGAAAAATACTACAAGAAAGCATGCTCTGTCATCAATAATTATAATTTGGATCAAGTTGAGGTGAAAAGATTAGTGAATTATCCTGTCGTTGACGATATAGTAGATGGCCATCAATATAAAGTTAGGCTAAGGGAACGCCAAAGAAGCATAAACGAACCTGTATTACGAAATAGCGATACCACTAGACATTATGGAAGTATTGTATAATAAATATTTACAAATCAGAGCACAACACTACTTATGTACAAAATAATAAATATCTTTAATCCTCAATTTTAAACAGATACAAGGAATCTAAGTCACTTTCCTTCGCTTTTTGTTGGGATTTCTTCAACTCCAACTCTTTTTGTTTTGCCAATTTTTTTTGTCTCTTGACTTCTTTCTTTGATAACTCCAGCTCAGAATCGTGCTCTTCCATATGTTTCGAAGAAAGATTTCTCTTTGGCGAACATGAGATAATGATTCTGGAATCAAGATCACCACTAATATCATATTCACATTGCAATTCGTCTAACATTTCCTGAATTTGTTGATATATCATCTCATGTCTTCTCATTTCAATTTCCAATTCATCATCCTCATATTTCCTCATATTGCCATTATCCACCACTGATTTACCTTCCTTTAACGTCTCAATAATTCCACCCTCTTTGTCTACCGACTTTCTTGCTGAGTACAAGCTCCTTTTTTCCCCTATATATAAAAGAAATTTTTCACCCTTAGCTAGTCTTTTTGAAATCTCTGCCCTCTTTTGATTCTTCAAGTCACCAACACTTATATTCCAAGCCAAAGTAATAATTTTGGTAGAAGACTTCTTCTTCTCAGCCCTATCTCTTTGCCTCACGGCTTTTTGAGCTGCAATACTGCCTTTTTCTAAGAGTTCTTGCTCTCTTATCTCTGCTAGTTCATCTGTGTACAACCTTATCATGTCCGACACTTTACTCACTTTTACCAAGGGCAACAGCAGTGACTGATTAGGCGGGACCATGTGTAAACCTTTGTGCCCAAGATCCAAATTATTAACTATTTCAACTAAATGTTTCGTTACTAACTTGTTATTATCTGGGTCAACGTAACTCACATTATAATTTTTATTATATGTATGGATCTTAGTAATGATAGATTTGATAGCATTCTGAGCTTGTTCAGAGCCAGTTTCAAACTGGAACCTTGCCAACTTCCTTGTCTGCTTGTTATGTCCTCCATCATTTTTCTTTGTACGTGACTTATGCTTAGGGCCCAGTTTTTTATCCAGGGGATGGTGTTTCGTTTTTCCGATATTGTTCGGATCAAACATCATCGCAAACCTGTTATTCTCTTTGCCGTGACCATTTGGAGCCTTATCATGGTATTTTGCAGGATTGTTTAAAAGCTGGTCCAAGTTTAGACCACCGGAGCCCTTTGCCTGAGCATTTATTCGTTGAAAATCAAATGGTTTATATGTTATTGCAGATCTAGAGAGATACCTCCTTGCAATAGGGCTAGCTAACAGCTTAAATAGACTAGACATACCGTAATAGAGGTTCAAGTAGACTATCCCGTAAACTATCTCTATATCAGTATTAATTTCAAGATTTTTCACGTAGATTTTATATACACAACGCTATCTCTTACTTAAGAATTGGAAATGTAGCGTAGCATTGTATTAATTAGAGGATTTGCCTATAAAAAGCTCTATGAACTCCATTATGTATGAGAATGTTATATGAAGTTACCATTTTGCACCAAGCAAAACAGCATTTGGGTCATTTGAAGGTTCCAACTCATGAAACCAGGTTTTCAAGAGCCTAGACTCACTGATATCGAAGTCCCGACAGAAGTTTTGACACCATGACATTATAGACGAGATAGATAAATTTCCACTCAGAGATAAATCAGTAATAGGAATTGTAGCATAGTTTTCCAAAGCTTTATTTATCCAATCCTTGTTATTAACACCAGAAGCAGGACTAATTTGGCCACCTCCATTAATGCATCCGTTGGGACATGCCATTATCTCAACATAATCACATTTAGAAGGATCTGCTAATTCCTGAGAAGACAGAGATGCACCCATCCTGGCACGCCTTCTTGAAGCAAGAGGATTAGATTTGACAACGGTTGAGTTTGATGGCTTTAATTTTCTTACCAAGTTTTGGATGTTCCTGAAACCATTAACAACAGCAGAGCTAGCTACTGTCTTTCCATCATGCATCAAACGTATTTCGTAGACGTCGGTATTGCGACCAGCTACTGTATTCAAGGAAAAATTGGCTTCCTGGTAAATATCTGGATACTTTAATGTCAAGTGTATCTTTGTCATTATCAAATAATTAAACCCATAGCCGCCCGATGCTGATCCACTATCGTTCGTCCAGGATAGCTCTGAAAATGGCCAATTTGGGACCGAAGCTTTTCGGTACAAATTAGATATCGACTCAGATGAATTTAAAATGCTTTGGAAATTTGAAGGAAACAACAGGTATCTATCTTGGTGTTGCTCTAGTAATGTGACTAACTCCTTGGCAGTTAATACACAGTCAACATCAGCTGTTTCGGGATCTTCTTGTTCGGGCCTTGCACTTTCCAATTTTTTGTCAAAACATGGCATTATTGAGAGATGATAGATTTCACTTCTTTTGACGCCCTGTTCTTGTGCCGCTAATGATTTGAGTAAGCACCCAGTAATTTGCTGGGGTGATTTAATATTGGAAACACGATTTAAGACATGAGGATGAGTCTTCTCAGCATACAAGACCCAGCCAGGGCATATAGATGACAATGTAGGACCCTCATAGTTAGCTTCTTTTTTCTCTATTATGCCTTGGGCTTCGTACAACAACGAAAGCTTTCTTCCTACAGCAGTTCCAACCACGTAGCTAAAACCAAACTGATTTATAAGTAGATTCAAAAGGAGCCTATCTATTTCCTCCACAGACAAATTGTAAGCTGTTGCCAAGGAGGAGCGAGACTGATGCGATATGCTGGCGACAAAGATTTTATCACATGTACCAGACTCTTTTTCTTGAAGAACCTTTACTAACTCGTTGTGTGAATGCTGAGCAACAAGCACTTCTTCAGCCGATGTAATACATCCTGAACATGCTAAACAATCGGACAAAGATATTTGGGCCGGCGACAAATTAGCTTGCTTTCCATCTATCTTTGATATCTCCAATGGCTTACCATTTTCATCTATCTGTATCTCAACTTCTCCTATGCTCGTTCGCTCAGTCAGCTTCTTCTCTTCATTTATAGGCTTGATGCATGCAACTCCGGGTGAAATAAAATCATTCAAATCATCTGCTGATAATATAGCACTCATAATTAATATTCAAGCTCTAATGGAGTAAGAATATAGAATGCTTTTCTATTATCTCTATAAGTCTGGTGTACTAGTATCTTAGAAATAATAAGAATTCTATCTGACTAATGGTTAAAAGTAGATTCGATTAGCAAATAGTGATGAGCACAATCACGTGATGTTTAATGATAAGAGACCACGTGACTCAACGGCGAAACGTAATAATGCAGGGATCTACTATATATATCTACAAAATATATATATGTATATATGAACACAGGTAGTTTAAAGCTATATATACACTGAAAGCCTCTCTCAGAAGCTTTTCGATAAGAAAAAAAAGGAAAATGCAAAATTCTATTTTATGATTGTTCTCTCTCTTCATCACTTAAGTCCCCAAGCTCGAACTCTTCCGCTACGTTGCTGCCAACTTGATCATAGTCACTTTCAAAGCCAAGTCTACCGTCAAAATCATAACCCACTAGTTTCAAGTAAAATGTTAGGAGTAAAAGTAACCATAAGTAAATTGTAAAAGCTGCTGCTGATACTACCAATACGTAAGCCGAATGATCAGACCCCAACTGCGATACGAGTATAAGTTGTTCCTCATTTGCAGCCATGAACATAATACCTGACAAAGTCAAGCAAAATGGAGGAAGGTATTGGAAGGCGAGTATATTTCCATTTTCACTGCACGGAGCGTCTTTCAAGAGCATCAGAATTTCAATTATTCTGCTAACTCCAGCGGCCATTAGAGCAATTCCGAAAACACCATGAACTTTGGTTGATATTTGCAGATGCTGAACATGTTGAGACATAGACCAACCGGTGAATATTAAAAGTAAGGCTGGGATGAAGGTCCTGTTACGTTTTCTAGCTAGAAAAATACCCAATAGACCACCAGCCCACCATATTATACCCATCGCCGTGTGTTGGTAATCACCCATAGACCAATCTTCCGTGCCCCACCTATGCTCTGTGAAAGTGTTCACAATGCCCCAAATACACATCAAGAACGAGTCATAGAACTCCTGAGACTTGACATTTGGGTTACTATTATCGACCAAATGGTGTTTCCTGATCCAGGGTATTACCAAGACAAGACTCAAAACGAAAGAATAGCCAACAAAAGCCAGCCCCATAATTCCATGAGCTATACATTGACCAGTATGCTTTCCGTAGCAAAAGCCGAACAACGCAACAGGTGCCATACAGACCCTCACCCAACCAGTTAAAACGACCAAGACAGAAAGTGCCTTATATGCCTTGTAAGACCACCCAGTCAGAGACTTAGAGCCGAGATGTGGGTAAAATTTATTAATGACCATATTGGAACCGTTAATTAGACTTCCAATAAATACTGTAGCTCCAAATAGAATGCTCAAGAACCAGCTCGTACCTTTCGACGTACGATTCTCATGGTTATTATTGTCAGGAAAATCAAGAAAGAGGCTTTCGAAGACAGAGTACGCTGTTGAAACAAACTGAAACACTAAAGACCAATGTAACCGGTCCGCAAATGCCAACACCGAAGAAACTGAAGGTAGCACCAATAACAATGCTAGAGAGCATATCCAATGGAATGTTTTTGAGCCAGCATTAATAGGGTGGAATTCGACACGGTCACCCATACCCTCCATGCTGTCTTCATCAGTATCAGCCAAAACACAACAGGCAATTGCCAATAATGGCCAAATCCTTTTGATTTGGATCATATTAGAGATTCTACCAATAACAACAAAGAAAATTTCCCTTAAAACCTCAAATCCTGTTATTAGCTAGATATATATCCTCCTTGCTTAGTGTATACGAAGATGATTCTATATTAGATGGCTTTCCGTTTGTTTTATAGTCACCTCAATGTGTGCTAAAGAAGGCCTTTAAACGACGTGTTCCATTATTACATAATCGGTTGATTTTCACTAAAATACAACGTAATGGAAATGTTAAATCGCACATAAAACCTTGCTTTCACAAGATACACTATTCAATAAGACTAGAGGGCTTTAAAGAGTTTAGTTGTTAACATAATCAAAGATCATTTTCTAATTCCTTTTAACAGGAAGATCCGATCTACAGTCGTTAATTCTTTTTTTTTTTTTTGTTTTCATTCATACGTTAATAATATCACAAACAGTTCTTTATCATGGTGTCGATTTTGATTAGAAAGCTCATGATTGCACTCATATTATGGGTCTATCTATCATCTTCGAAAAAAATACCTACAAGAGATTACAACAATAAGAATTATTTCGTGGTAGAGTTGCAAGCATCAGACAAAAGTGAGCCTTTGAAGTCATTTTTAAAGCAGCATCAGGACTATGAGTTTGAGCATCCGATTATAGGACTTGATGATCACTATGTTTTCAGTATAAACAAAAGTCACCCTCACAATGAATTTTTGGGAAATTTCAACTCAAACAATGAACATTTAATTAAGAGATCTCCTGGATTCGAAGAGGACTTTGATGACCTAGTTAATAATCAGGATATCAAATCGATCCACATGCTACCCCCTAAAAGATTAGAGAGAAGGATGCCTGTTCCAATGACAGATGAAGAGAAGAATATTATTGACAAGAGAGGGGGAGCAACGGACTCTGCCCAGGAAAGGATTAAAAAGGTAAGTAAAGAGCTTAGCATCAAGGACCCGATTTTCAACCTGCAGTGGCATTTAATTAATACGTTGTATCCCGGTCATGATGTGAATGCTTCGGGATTGTGGTATGAAGGGATCACAGGTAAGGGAATAGTTACAGCAATAGTTGATGACGGTTTGGATTATGAAAGCATGGATTTAAAAGATAATTTTAACTTGCAAGGGTCATGGGATTTTAATGACAATAGAAACAACCCTTTTCCGAGTCTTGCAGATGATTATCATGGAACCAGATGTGCGGGAGAAATTGCAGCAGTCAGAAATGACGTTTGTGGTATTGGTGTGGCATACGATTCTCAGGTAAGTGGAATCAGAATATTATCGGGATCTATTACTGCAGCAGACGAAGCAGCAGCCATGATGTATGGTCTTGACGTAAATGACATCTATTCATGTTCTTGGGGTCCTACAGATGACGGAAGAACACTTGCTCGTCCTGACCTCATAGTCAGAAAGGCTATGGTAAAAGGGATACAAGAGGGAAGGAAAAATAAAGGATCAGTTTATGTTTTTGCATCAGGAAATGGAGCTAGATTTGGAGATTCTTGTAATTTTGATGGTTATACAAACTCTATTTATTCTATAACGGTTGGTGCCGTTGACCATAAAGGAATTTACCCAACTTATTCCGAAGCTTGCTCGGCTGTAATGGTTGTTACATATTCTGCTGGGTCCGGAGAACACATCCACACGACTGATATCAGAAAGAAATGTACATCCTTACATGGGGGAACCTCAGCTGCTGCACCTTTGGCAGCTGGAATCTACTCTTTAGTCTTACAGGCAAACAGCAACTTAACTTGGAGAGATGTTCAATACGTGTCAGCATTAAGCGCAGTTCCTATAAATGAAGATGATGGCAATTATCAGATGACGGCGATAGGAAGGAAGTACTCTCATAGGTACGGCTTCGGAAAGCTTGATGCATATAAACTAGCGCATTTTGCTCAGACATGGAAGAACGTGAACCCCCAAACTTGGTACTATTCAGATTCAGTGAATATTGACAAGAGAGTAACAGTAACCAATGACGACAATGGGCTGATGAAAAGTATCGTGACCGTCACTGAGGATGATCTCAAGGTCACTAATTTTAAAAGGGTGGAGCATATCACAGTCAATGTGAATGTAGATGCATCCTATAGAGGTCGAGTAGGCATTAAAATTACTTCTCCTTTCGGAGTCGTGAGCAATCTCGCAGTGTTCCGCCCTTTGGATTCATCTAAGTCGGGATTTAATGATTGGAATTTTATGTCCGTTGCACATTGGGGTGAGTCTGGATTAGGTAACTGGACTCTTGAGGTCTTTGGTGATAAGCATCAGGAACCAAATCATATACATTTCAAGAGTTGGTCTATGAAGCTCTTCGGAGAGTCTAGTAATCCTGAAAAGGCAGAAAAATTCGACATTGGAAAAGATTATGCAGCGGAAAGAAGAGATAGATTAGATGAGTTGAAAAATGAAAAGACATCTACGAAAGAAAATGCTGTACCTACGACTACGAGCACATCTAGTACACAGAAAAGCAAAGAAACTACCAAGGCGCCAAACAAAACAACAAGCAAAACGTCGTCATCACATACAACACTGACGAGCAAAGCTGGGCAAAGTGGACATCAAAGTGCAACACTGGATCCTGAGGAAGGCAAAAATAAGCATTATACGTCTGACCATACTGGTCAGTACTTTATGGCCTTGGCTGTACTCGGGTTTATTATAGTCATAGTGTTTATGAGATTCCACAAGACACCAGGTAGTTCCAGGAGAAGAAGAAGAAGAGACGAATACGAATTTGATATTATCCCGGGCGAAGATTACTCCGACAGTAACGTCGAAGATGACGAAGACTCTTTGGACTTGGGTCCCCGAAACGACCAGAGACGGTACGATAGACAGACAGATGAAGCCAGAGATAGGTTATTTGAGCAGTATGATCCACTGGCTGACCAGGATCACGACGAAATGTTCAAGATTGATGATGATGAAGACCATCATGCGACAGAATCGTTGTCTAAATCTTCCCATGCTGAACCTGAGAATACCGAGGCCCGTCCTGACCCCAAAACTACTACTGCGGGTGACTCTTGAGTAAATTGCATGCTCATGCAATAACAAGCTTGAGCAAAAAAAGTTCTCGCACTACATACTTCTACATGGACCATTGGCCCCTTTTTAACTATAGGCTTATAAAGACCACTCCCTTTTTAGACAATAAAGAATCAATATGATAGGAATCTGCCCTGAAAAGTATATATATATATTAAAGTAATTCCATCTTTCTTCTCTTTTAGTAGTGTGTGGTAGTGTAAGAACTTCCGTTATCCAGCCTCTTACTCCAGCCTCTTACTCCAGCCTCTTACTCCAACCTTTTCTCCAGCCTTTTCTTAACGCCTCTCATCCGTTATTGTCTTCCGCATTCCCACCTTTGGTTCCCGATACTCACTCGTAAAACTGTCAACCCGCATCCCTATAACCAATGCTCCATTACTGTCTACTAAAGATACCTAGCCACTCAATTGATTAGAGATTTCGACTTCATGAGGGCCACTACAGATGCCACCCTGCAATTCAATGTCTATAGGGCTCCTTCGTTATCAGTTCTTCTCTCGTATTAATCATCGTCTCCCGGTCGAGATGAATGCTCACGTGGTTACGGTGCCCGGTTCTCCGATCAGGCATTGAAAATTGCCCATACTGATAATTCCCTTGGGCCACTAATGAATCATACCCATCACTTTCCAAGCTGGACACTAATTCTATAATTATATTCAATTAGAATTTAGTATAAAGTATATATTTCACATTACAGGTGGAATTGATTTCGATTCAGCAATTGAGTGAGCAACCTTGTTATTTAAAGAGCAAGAACCGAGAACAGTTTCGATTGTAGGTTGCTAATAAGCGTGAAGGCAAACGACGGACCGACGATAGAAAAAAAAAGTATTTACGATAGAAAATAGGCTGAAATTTATCCTTAACTATCGACAAGAACATTTGTAACGTGAAATATTACCAGGAACCAAAGGGATTAACTTATAATATTAAATTATATAGCAATGGCAAACGACGCATTAGGCAAATACGTTAGCATCGTTATCTTTGGAGCTTCTGGTGACTTGGCTAAAAAGAAGACATTTCCTGCTCTTTTTGGACTCTTTCGTCAAGGTCTCTTACCATCGACTGTACAGATAATTGGTTATGCAAGATCGAAGCTAGACATCGATGACTTTAAGAAGAGAATTGCAGACCACTTTGACATAAAGGATGAGAAGAACAAGCCCAAGGTTGATGAATTTCTCAAAATGGTTACTTACCATTCCGGTGCTTACGACACCGACTCTGGATACAAGGAATTGAATGAGAAGATTGTCAAGTATGAGAAGGATAACAATGTTACAAGACCAGAAAGGTTGTTTTACTTGGCTTTACCACCGTCTGCCTTTACCGGAGTAGCTGAACACTTGAAGACTAACGTTTACGTCGAAGGAGGTGCTATCAGGCTCGTTGTTGAGAAGCCCTTCGGTCGTGATTTGAAAACTTCCAGGGAGTTGCAAGACAATTTAGCACCACTATTTACTGAAGATGAGTTGTATAGAATTGATCATTACTTGGGTAAAGAAATGGTAAAGAACTTATTGGTATTGAGATTTGGAAATGAAATTATGAATGCAGCATGGAACAAGAATCATATCAAATCAATTCAAATTTCCTTCAAGGAGTCCTTCGGCACTGAGGGAAGAGGTGGTTACTTCGATGAGATTGGAATCGTTAGGGATGTTATGCAAAATCACTTGTTGCAAATTTTGACATTATTAACCATGGAAAGGCCCGTTTCCTTTGACCCAGAAGCTATCAGAGATGAAAAGGTTAAAGTCCTCAAAGCTTTTGGAGAAATTGATACTAAAAGAATGTTGGTTGGTCAATATGCCAAATCTGAAGATGGTAAAAAGCCAGGTTATTTGGATGATGACACAGTGAAGAATGATTCTAAATGTGCGACTTACGCTGCACTCGCTCTTGAATGTCATAATGAAAGATGGGAAGGCGTTCCTTTCGTCATGAGGGCTGGAAAGGCCTTGGACGAATCTAAAGTTGAGATTAGAGTTCAGTTCAAACCAGTCGCAAAGGGTATGTTCGAGGAAATTCAAAGAAACGAGTTGGTCATCAGGATTCAACCAGATGAGGCTATTTACATGAAAATAAACTCAAAGATTCCAGGTGTTTCTACTGAAACTTCATTGACAGATTTGAATTTGACTTATTCTAAAAGATATTCTCATGACTTTTGGATCCCAGAGGCATATGAGTCATTATTGAGAGATTGTCTTCTTGGTAATCATTCAAACTTCGTAAGAGATGATGAATTGGACGTCTCATGGAAGTTATTTACACCTCTTCTTGAATACATCGAAGGCGAAAATTCTCCAGAATTAGAAAAGTACCCATATGGATCCAAGGGACCAAAGCATTTAAGGGAGTTTTTAAATGAACATGGTTATGTATTTTCCGACCCTGGTACTTATCAATGGCCCTTGACTACACCAAGCGTAAAGGGTAAGATTTGAAACGAGTTATTTTACAGGTTTAAGTAGTCCCTAAATTAGTGAAAAGTCATAATTCTAGTTCGTTGCAACTTTTTAGTACTCTACAAGTAAGAATATATGGTTAAACGATGCAATACGATATGACGGAGATATATTTTACTCTTCAACTTCGAAACTCTCAAATCTCTTGAATCAGACATCCATGGAAGGTCTATGAGCGGTCACCGGCATACTAAGATGGGTTCTTGATGTATGCTACCGAGGAAACTGCGAATGTTTATGGAATTTTTCATCACTTCAAATGATTAATGAGCTTCAATTGTTGAAGAGAAAAAAATTTCTTTCACGCTCTTAACGAGTGTGCTTAAATGAATCTATCATCTGTCTTCCGAGGTACTCAGCCGTTAGCTGACCCACCATAAGCCAAAATTAGGTAAAAAAACCAAAGGAGAAAAAATATCTAAATTGACCCTTTATAGCATATGAATCAGAATCGTAAAATACTGGCAAGTATAAGCCCAATCAACACCTCTTGCAACAGAGGCTATTGTTAAAAGGACAATTATCAACCCTGTCGTCATAGTCGAATCAGACTGGGAAAGAAGAATACTTAGTTTCATCATCTTCAGTATGCACAAAAGTATTAGATATTCTTTATCAAGAGCGTATACTCTTTAAGTGACTTTCAAAGGACAGATAAATAGATTCTATAAGCCCAAACTTAAAAGTGTTCAATAATAATATCTTCAAAGCATTGTAAAAATTGAGTGAAAAATTTCTGCTTTCTTTCACCAGCTTTCCCTTTTTATAGTTCATCGAGATGACTTTACCCGGATTTTTCATTTCTACAGAAATCATTACTAGCATGTCAGACGACTTTAAAGAGATGGCACCAACATGCTATGAAGTACTATTACTGTCAATGAAACGTCCAATGATTAAAACATACTATTAAAAAAAAAAGAAGAACAAAATACTATACGTAAACGCAAGCGAGAGGTGATATTATGAAAGTCAACTGTTCAATGAACTGGAATCCTTTTTCTTCCTGTTGTGAGCATTAGGGTTGCCGTAAATTATGGTAGTAGAACCGTTAGAGTTTGTCTTATAGTGAGTTTTCAAATGCTGAGCCAAATTATCAGATCTACTGAATTTCTTATCACAATATTTACAATGAAACGGTCTTATGTTTGAGTGCACAGATCTATGGTGTCTCTTTAAATGTTCTGATCTTTTAAAATGCTTATCACAGTTAGGACAGGGAAAGGCTGGAGCCTCTTCCTCTGTATCTAATGAGCTCTCAAACTTTTCTTTCTGGTTTATCCTAGGTGTTGTTTGTGGGGATGCTCTACTTGATTTAACAGGAGAAGTCTGCTTAGACCTGCTTTGGTTGATTGGTGGAGCAGCAACTGGCACAGGATTCTCCTCGATTGCTTCATTTTGGCTCTTAGACTTTGGCACTGGCTTGATATCTATCCCTGAGTATATCATCACCAGGTCAAAGCCATTTTGTGACTTTCTTCTCTTCTTCTTCTGACCAGCAGTAGAATTAGGAACTTGACTAGAAGGGAGTGAAGGAGGAACCGCAAATGTAGAACCAACATCATCATGCATGTGACTATAACACTGAATCGAGTTTCTTCTTTTGTGATAGAACCCCGATTTAATAACACCAGTAGGATTCGCCATTATTTCAGCAGCAGAATTGTCGATATTTTCGTCATCGTTGTCTACTGTCTGTAAAGTATTATTCAACCAATACGTGATTGCGTTGAAGCATTCATCATTCATTTTAAAATCAAACTTCTGACTTATTGTCTGAGGCGTCATATGAGGTTGACTTTCCAGATGTTGTTGAACTTGAGAATTCTGAACCTTGCCCTTTTTTTGATGCAGTTGGACACCACTACTAGGTAATTTTGAGGTAGTATAATTCCTATAATTTCTCGTTTCATTTCGAAATAGAGTAGTCAATGATGGTGAAGACATAGAAACTGGAATTTTGTTCGAAGTAAATAGTTCTCGTGGATTGATCGTACGCTCCTCTTGATTGATATCTCTATTAGTGCCGTAATATTCAGGGGAAGGTGATTTCGAGATCTGTGTCGCATTCAACGGTTGCTTCAATGATAATAAATTCAACCGGTCAATTGGTAATGAAGAAGCTGAAGAGTGCCTTCCTTCGTTACCTAACCTCAGAGCCAGCTGCTGCTGTTGAGGTGGCTGCTTATTCTGCGGGGACTGCAGAGTTTGGTTTCGGTAACCCGCGAAGCCTATAGCCTGTGGTGGTCCCAGGTTCGTTTGGACAGATTTCTTTGGGGAGTTAGGAAAGTCAGGCGTGGTATGATTTGTATGATTAATGTAGTTCAAGTTACGCAACGAAGAAGTCGAGGAAGACCAATTACTCATGACTTCTTCACTATTATCGTGAAGGTTGTTCTCGTCAAATATTTCCTCGTACATATTATAACTTTCGCCGTTGACTGTGGCTCCGATACCGCCGGTACCAGAATTCAAAGCCCATCCTTCGTCTTCCTTATAACCCATCATCATCATACTGTGTAGCCCTTCCCCATGCATCATACTACTAGGGGGCATACCAAGTATATAGCTCGACCCACTATTGTTACTGCTTGCACCGTCAAATATCGTCTGGTCCTCCATAGTTACTCCTGTCCCTTGCTTTATCTCTACTCTCTTGATATTTATGTTATATCTTATCTGTCTACTTCTCTATTTCTTTTTCTGTCTTGATTCCCTCCTATGCTTCTTGAGTTGACTGTTGACTCTACTTATTATTAATTAAACTGAACTCAGTTATAGATAAGGATTTTGCTCGGATTTATTTCTTATTTCCACTCTCAACCGTTCTCTTGTATGCTCTAGTGTATCACTAAATTCGTATCTAGGAAGCTAACTGTACTTAGTGATTACAATTATCTAGCCACCTCTTTGATAACTTTCACTTTATCTCTGACTTTTCGGCCGATTAAGAAATGCGGTGGTATTGATGGTGAAATGCTCTCTGATTGGAAAGTTTTAAAGTGCGAAATTATCTACTGCAAGATGGTTATGAGGCACTTGGTTGGATTCCACCGAGAAACCAAGATACTACACGAGCAGTGGGCAAGTTCAAGAGTTGAAAGAGTGTCGTAAGATGAAGGGCTGTCATCTGCCCGTCTGAAAATATTGCCATGGCAAATTCTATAGCTTACGGAAGAATGACTTCGAGCAATAATAGGATATTTAGTGTCTGCGATACCAGTCCGAATGAGATAATTTTTAACACGATAAGAGGGGATTTCTTTATTGCTGGTCCGCAGTTTGCAATCCCAGTAAATCCACTAAACATAGAACAAACAAGAGAGTATTTTTAACTTAGCGAAGAAATCTAGCTAAGAACACGACATAAGATTGGTCAGTTAAGCGTAGGAAAAGGTGTGGCTTGTATAGCAGAACAGTAACGGGTTAGTGGAAAAAATATTCATCGTGCCTAAGCCAGTATCTTAGTGGGTCGTCCGGAAGTCAAGAGGAGATTTACATTACTTGGCACTATGGTGGCTTTAGATGGTGATTCCCACCTTACTTTCGCTCGTGCACATTTCTCAAATACTTTGAGAAACTTTGGCATACGATAACAGTCAGAAGCGAACTTAAGCTATATGCTGCGAAATCGCTTCTGACTGTTGTAGTATTTGTAATGAGAAAAAAAAATTCCGTCTTCATAGAAACCAATTACACTGCCATGGTCAAATGATTTCATTCGATGATTATTTGAATTATGTGCAGCTGGCAGTATAGATTGGTCGAATGTCACCAACACAACGCTCCAGCGACATAATGAATCGATTTCGATCACGGATCAATTACTCTTAAACTCTAGTTTATATGAACAATATGGAATGTACAGATGCAGCCGTAATGTGTTCACGTCGCTGATTTATCAAAGTAAGTAATGATCCTAAGTGAAGGCACCTGACTCACTTCAAGTTTCACAAAATATACTTTGTCAAGGAGAGTACAAGCCTCTCTTCAAAAGCGACATCTCAACACCTAGAACACTTTCTCGTTTGCTTGACAAAAATTGAAGGGTAAAAAGCGAATTGTTTAACAAAAAGATAGTTAACCATTGAATTGGAATATGAAACCAGTTTTACTATAAGTGGCCCCCCAGAAGGCCCTGGAAACATACATGTGTCAGACATGATATCTTATTGGCAAATTTCATGAAGGGGTGAGATATGAAAGCGTGAAAAAAGTCGCCAAACCTTCCTAAGATGAAAGAGGGAAGACGTAAAACATTATTCGGCCGCTAGGTTAATAATTGCTCGTACAATTGTGATGACCATTAAAAATAGAAGGCTCATTCCTAAAATAGAACATTGTTAATGTCGCAGTGTGAGACCTTATTCAACGTCTTCAACATCATCCGTACCGTACCATCTTTGTGCAAAACTCATCATATGCTATCTAATACTTCCCTGGCGTAACTAAGGCTATGAGCTCGATAACCACCAAAACTTTGGGGGAATAAAATTCTAATGGGTCCTATTACGCACCAAATTTTTAAGAATCTGCTTCGATCGGCATTAATAGAATAGGGAATATTAACTAGATGTTAGCAATATAAGTATAAATAAGTTTTTTATCAGTTCTCATGGACTGAAGTTATATTGGATAATAGTGAATAGTTTGTCTCACTCGAAAAATTGCAGTCATTCATATATGTGATTATCGGGAAGATTTCTATTTTAACTCACAGATTTAGTACTCGTCAAAGTTAAGACATGTCGGTGTTTGGCTTCAATAACTTCGACGGTCCAAAAAAAAAAAA